GGATATACAAATAATCAAATATAAGATATTCAGACATTTCTCATGCATGAGGATTCCCACGAAACAAATATAGAAATATTTGAATTAGGATTTCAGATTTGAAATTACTGGAGAGTACCAGACAAGACAACTGTTGTACGAGATATTTACTAGAAACGAGCTCGTTATACTTTGTCATTCTAGAGAAATACAGCAAAAAGCTTCAAAATGTCTGAATACCATAACGTTTGAATATCTCGGTCAGAAAATATATGAATTTACAATGATCATGCATCATTCATTTGTCGAACATCGTATGATTCAGTTTTGCTTATTTCATTAAAATATTGGTTCCAATCACAATTTTGTGCAGTGTTTGGTATATAAATCATTCCGAGATTATTGATGACGTCTGTTTAGTAGTCTATTCAGATATGTGACGTGAGCACTCTTATTTTTTCGATTGCATAGCATAAAAATAGGCAGCAATTTACTCGTAGACGGATCAGATGGCCGCTTGAATAAATCATCAAATGGGTGTGGATGTGGCTTGATAGGTATCGGTGCCGGTTGAGAGTGTGGATATGGATGTAACAAGAACCGCACCCACACCCATACCCTCGTGATGGAAATGAATCATTAAATAATATATCAAAACCATCAAATGAAGAAATAGCTAATAGTATTGTTGCATCAATCTTACCATCAAATATTCTTAAACGTGTGGATCATCTTAATACAATACTTATACCAACCAACAACAATTGATTGTCCATTACCAAGATTATTATTTCAAGAAACTGATGCACAACAAACATTCATAAACAATGAAAAGAAACATGAAAATAATCTATAGTTTGAAGATAAAGCAGTATTAAATGATTTAGTAAATAGTGAGTATAGAACTGCTACGAATATCATAGTAGAGGGTGTGGATGTGGGTGTGAGTGGGTGGGTGTGGGCGTGGGTGTGGGTGTGCGGGTGTGGGTGTGGGGTGTGGTGTTAGTCATGAGAAGACTAACAGTCACTGGCACAGTCACATCCACCCACACCCACACATCCACACACCCACACATCCACACACCCGCACCCACATTTCACACCAACACGGAGGTTCATGATCGTAATACTGAGCCATGTATTTGGTCGTATTTCTCCGTATACGATCGTTTACGACCGTGCTTGCTCAACCTGGGATCCTTTTGTTTGTTTCATATTTCCCTCTATGATGTCATTTGAACGTTTTTTCATTCTCGTTTTCTTTTTTTTTCACTCCGTGCATGTATATGTTAGCGTCCAATGTCGGATTCAGTCCAATCTCGGATTGGCCTAGGCGAATCACGGATGCTTACATTGGACTAGTCCAATATCGGATTGATGCAATTCGGTTCACTGAAATATCAATTACTCTTCAGATAGATGTTCGATTCGAATTACTTTTTGAAATTATGTTCACACAATGCCAATTTGTTTGTCACTATCGTTGTTGGAAAGATTTAAGTAAAAGTTTGGGAGTTATGAATAAATTTCTATAGAACAACAACTTTTATGAAAAGTTGTTATAAAATTCTTCAGTCTAAATTTGGCTTCTTCTTGAATACCTGCAATACTTAAAATGGCACCGTGCGAACATACTTAAAAAAAAATAATTCGAATTCAACGTCTATCTCAAGAGTAATTGATATTTCAGTGAACCGAATTGCATCAATCCGATATTGGACTAGTCCAATGTAAGCATCCGTGATTCGCCTAGGCCAATCCGAGATTGGACTGAATCCGACATTGGACGCCAACATATATTTATGTCAGATGATTTTTCTCTTTCTCATTTAAACATTATTTTTCCTCTTCTTTCTTACTTATGGCTTTGTATAAAAACCAAAAACAAAAAAAAAAGTGTTTTTTGTAAACAAAAAACTACTTTTTCTGATTCTGGAAGGGTGTTAGGACCCGACGTCTATTTATTTATTGTTATGCTCGTCTTCTCTCTATATTTCTGTCGTTCTGCTTTTCTTTTCTTTTCTTCTCTCTTTTCTTTTTTTCGATGATATATATGCAAATGATCGTGATGTTACAGTAGTTGATTTTGAAATAAAGAAAAAAGATTATGTTCTACTAAAAAACGAACTTATTTTGCCCTTATAGAAAAGTAGGACGTAACACTTGGACTCACTACATATATTAATTAACTCTTTAGTATCACTATGTAAGGTCTTTTGTGAAGCATGATCTCCAATGAGTATTGAAATCGAGGAAGAAGCAGCGAAAAATTAAAATTGTAGAAGTCTTCAGGACTTCATAGAACTTCATAACCGAAGTCTCAGTTGTTTGTTTTCATCTCCGTTGAAGTATGCAAAGAGATAATTGCTTCCATTTTCCCAGGTTGTGTGGGTGTAGAATAAAAGGGTACTCACACTTCACGCCTACCCAAACACCCACCCCCAATAGATATTCATGAAATAGAAAAGAGCGAATGACATGCCTAACTAAAAGAACCTGTGTTACAAATCATGATGAACTTATTGCACAGCAGAAAAGCTTTGAAAAGCATGGCTTGTGCCTTGAAAAATAAGAGAAGGGATATAACTATCTTGTTGCTATCGTTAACCATTGGTTTATTTGACTTATTATGCGCTGAGCACCATCTGTGATTACATTGCTTCACTACTCACATTCTGTGACACTGCTACATCTTATCTTTCATTGTATTAATATCTCTATTTTTCTGTGTATGTAATCATATACTTTTTTTCACATTATATCACCTATATTCCTATCTAATCTCTACTCTCTTATTTTCATTGTGCTCTTATATTCTTGTTATCTCTGCTGTGTATATAAGACGGACTAATTCATGTAACAAATGAATTCGGCAGTAATTCGAAAACAGCATGAGCGGTGATATCATTGGAAAAATTAATTATCTTGCACACACGTCAGATGGCTGCTCTCCGTGGACAGAATTAGGTTCGCGACTAGCAGCACTAAGAACAAATATGGAACAAGTACCAATCCCTGTTATCATCCACGATTTGCGAGGCAAAGAGAAAATTGTCGATCTTGATACGAATGGCTTGGAAGTGCTCCAATATGGAATTACTCTCCAAGAAGAATTTCAGGATGATAGTGAAGAACAACGAGCTTATTACGAAGAAGTTTCCAATTTTCTTAAAAAACATCTGAACGCTTCTAGAGTGATTGTCTATCATCACGTCTTTCGCGTTCGAGGTCCACCACGTACGGCCGATCAATGTGATCAAACTCACAGGAATCCTGCTTTTGATCCTCATGTCGATAGCGATTCATCTGGAATTCGCAAAAAGGTGAAAGAAATACTTGGAGAAGAAGAAGCCGATAACGTGATGCAAAATCGGTATCAAGCGATCAATGTCTGGCGACCATTTGGTCCCAACGCAATAATCGATAAACCATTAGCGATTTGCGATTATCGCTCGATTGACGTCGAAAAAGATGTTCATCTAATTGAACTTCGAGGATCCATAAATACTTCTACAGCCTATACGATAACTCGCAGCACCCAAGATACTCATGTATGGTACTACCTAAGCCAGATGCGATCTAATGAGATGTTCATTTTCAAAATATTCGATAGCAAGTCCGATGTTGCTCAATTTGCGTTTCATACAGCTTTCATAAATGAAAATGTCTTGCCATCAAATGTTGAGCAAAAAAGTATTGAGCTACGTTGTTTTGTTTTCTATGATCAATAATTACTACATTAGTATGATTGATTTGCAATCTATAAAATAACAAATTTCTTTTGCGATTAAAGTATTTGATGTTTCATTAAAAAATAAGTCTCTTTGTGGGTTCACCCACACTCTACTCGATTGTTCATATCTCGATCTCTTAGAACTGAGATGCCTGTGTGATAGCTCATAATTCGTTTTCAATTATTTTATCATTATTTATTTGCTTTCTATATTCTGTATACCCACTCTTTTATGTCGTTATATAAAGAGAAGAAAACAACAGGTTTTATTATTCAAGATCTATTCGATGATTATGCTTTCGAGAAAACTTGAAAATAAATCAAATTTCTTGTTTTTGTGACAAGTTAAGGAACTGAAAGTATTGGTTTTCGAAACGAAATGATATTTTCTCGACATTTAATTGTTTGAACTATAGAGCATTGCGAATTAAATCTTTATAATAAACAAGAATTTTTTTCTATGCTCTTCTACTTTATTTCGTGAGTAATTCGGATTACTAAAAAGTTCAATTTGTTTTTCATGATTATAAAACACTAATATTCTTACTTGTCTCATTAGTTGTCCTCTTTATCGCACTAACGAACAAAACACAATAATTAATATTGAGTATCTCACGTCATAGTTATTTTACTAAAATAGAGAATAAGAAGTGCACTCAAATATTATTAACTAACGCAACGGTAGTCAAAGCTAAAAGAAACAAAATTTCAGATCATTGGATCTAGTAGACAAAAATTAGCCTGTCAATAGTTGCCTATCATCAGTTGTCATTCTGAGTCCTCAATGAATTTGTCGCTCAACATCATATTTCACAGATCTAAATTCATGTGACTTCTTTCTGCTATTAAAAAAGGCATATTAATTACTTAAAACTCTCAATAATAAATGATCTCAAACTCCACATTAGTGACCTATTTTAATCGAATGTACCAGTGCATAGTTGATGAGGGGTGGGGTATTATGAAAAAAACAACAATAGAATCAGCCATTAAATATTTTTCTAAAAGGCTGGTTCCTTGTATGCCAACAATAATATAGCAAAACAAAAAATTATCAACCTTAGAGCAATTTGGAATAAAGAAGATTCCTTCAAAACTGTTTCATTATCGTTATTCGAATCTATTTTTCATTTAAGTTTATGAAGCAAATTCTCATAAGAACAAAACAATTATAAATAAAATGCATTCATTTTTATAATCAATTAATCATCTACTTTTGTAAAGTTTCATTGATTTCATTAGAAAAAAAATGCAAACAAATGTTAAAACGAGTTTCACAACAGAAGTATTAGCCAGTGGATGTCGAAGCGCATATAGAAAAGGATGAATTCCAAGTCGTGCCAGAAGGGCAATAGCAAGTGCCACCTGTACAAGTTGTTGCAGTACAACCAGTACTACTACTACAAAGTAGACCTGCACCAGCTGCATTTAAACAGGTGGTTGTATTTACTGGATAGTTAGGCCATGATGTACAAGAATCATTGAACGTAACTCGATCTAGACATGTGACACCATTCTATAAAATATGCAATAACAATGAAACAAAGCTCAGTGAGTCTCTTTTATTCACATACCCAATATTTAGTTGTTGCACACTCACAAGTAGAAATTATACTAGGATAACTACCACCAAGTGGACAGGAAACTAAATTGTAATCAGCACATTGATATGTTGCATTACATATAGCACTTGTATTACTACCCCAAGCTGGTGTGCCTTTATCTCGACAATATGTTCCATTCCACCATTGTAAACTAGTACAATTACTAGGAAAAAATAGTTTCATAAAAATTCATATTCTATGAATAAAATTTATTCAATACACACCACCATCCAGATCCAGTGATATTTGTAACACTATCATTCATACATTGTAAATTAGCTGTTTTATCACATTCATTACTTGAACAATTTGATACCAATGTGCAAGATTCATGACGCTACAAAACAAAAAAAAGCAAGCCATTTCTTCAAAACAAGAAAGATGAAAGGAATCAAACGTTTTTTGAAACAATACATCGTTGTAAACAATCGTCCCAAAATGAAGTCGCATTACAAAGACATTGTAATGCTGGTGGTACTGTTGTACCATTTATACAAATTAAATTAACTGGACTAAAATCTCGACATTCTGTAGTATTAGAACATGGATCTGTATAATTTCTTTTAGGTTGACAACGACTACCGTCCCAATAATCTGTATAAACACATTCACATGTACCATTATTACATTTTAAATAATTAAAATCTTGACATTCAAGATCACCATAACATGTTGATTGACCATTTGATAATTTAAGTATACATGTATATGATCGATTCGTAACATATAATGAATCCCATATATAACTTGTATTATAACAATCACATTTTTGAAATAGACTACCACCAAGACCTTGACATTGTAAACCACGATTATCGTCACAAACATATGATGATGAACATGTTGTATTATACCATTGTTTAAGTATACATGTATAATTCCAAAAATGATCTTTATCACAATCACATGTACCTATTGATTGTGTATAATTACTACAAAAAAGACCATCTGATGCAATACAATGTGTATCATTTGAACATTCACCACCAATCGATAATTTACTTGCACATGTTGTACCATCCCAATATGACCAGGAGCTATTACATAGACATATACCAGATGTATTTGCTCCACCATAATATGATAGATCACAAAAAAGATTTTGTGATGTGCTACATGTAAGAATAGCTGTACAATTTTCTAAATAACCTGATGCAGTTTTACAATAACCCATAACACCACTACTATTAATTGTAGAATCATAATTTGCGCCTGATGGACATACACAAAGATTATTTGAACATGTCAAATTAATTCGATAATCACATTGAGATGTTGATGTACAAGATTCATTATATACACGACGCGGAACACAAAAACCATTTGCTAATGAAGGAGTACCATTATAATATTTATATGTTGAACATTGACAAACACCTACAATAATGAAAATAAAACAGTATAAATTGAAATTTTCTTTGTATTTTACTGACCATATTCACTTCCATAAGGATTTGCATAACTAGCACAAATGAGACCTTGACCAACAGGACCTGTATCATCACACCAAGCATCTTGATATGGATAACAATATTGATTTACTGTTCGTTTATATTCACATGTACCCGAATATAAATTTCCGTTCCAAAACATTGATGAATTACAACGACAATAACTTCCAACTGTAGAATTACAATATAAATAACGTGTACTATCGCAGTTAGCATTCGAAGCACATGAAGCATTATATAGACCTTGATAAGCACACTAAAATTGAATAAATAAAATAAATTAATTAATAAGAAAATTTTAATTTTACAGATCATTCAAAAATCTTATTATCGAAATCGTATAAAACAAAGCGATTGAGTTGAGAAAAAAAGAAACTGTGAAGATGACTGAATGTATACTAATGAGTAAAACAACAAAGAAAACAATGGCCTTCTACATTACATGGAACTAAATACCAGAAAACTAGGATTTTATGTGCTAAATAACAAAAGAAAAGCGTACAACGAATTAAACTGTAACCTCAAGTAAGGTCCAACTAGGAAATGAGACTGACTGCGATATCTGCTATCTCTAAATTTGAGATTTTCGTAGTAGACATTATAATGACTTTCAGTCATGTTCAATTAACAAGTTAAGGGATAATGAGTCTGAACCAATACCGACACACATTCTCACGATCTTGAAAAACTTAGTATTATTTATACCTTTCAGTCAATGAGAGTGCAAACACGAAAAAAAAAAGTGTTCCACAGGAGTCCACTGCTAATATACGATGATCTTCAGTAATATGAACTCTACACTAAAAAAAACAATACAATACCACATGTTATTATAGAACTTATGAGTCTCATTTTTTATCACTTTCAAACACCAACACTACTATATTAGTGACGTTATATATCTTCAAAATTATTCTGAGTACGGATAATTAGACAAAAAACAATTGCAAAAATTAATCGAGATACAGACGATGATTTAACAGAAAAAGATTGAAACGAAATTAATATCCAAACTATTCGTCAAAAAAGACTGTCAACATCCGAATGAATTCGAAAAATGTAATAATATCATAAACGAATAGTTTCATCTTTTTACACTTACAGCATATCCATTCCAATTCATTCCAGATTTGCATTGACATTGAAGTTGAGTACCTCCACTATTACAAAGAAACAAGAGACAAAATATTTATTGTCTAAAATTTAGCTTCTTCTTTTAATTTACCTAAATGTAGCGTTTGTACACTGTAAACTTCCCAGTGCATCACACATAGAATCATTAACACATGTTCGATTGATCATTCGTCGTCGTTCACAAATTCGATATGAATCACTCCAAAAATGTGAATAAGCACATCCACAACGATAATTATTACATAGCAAGCCTAAATCTTGACGACAATCAGAATTTGATTTACATGCACCTCCATTTGTTTCTTTTTTAAGTGTAACAACTGTACTGAATAAAATAAAGGCTGTAAAAACAATGATAGTTAATGAAACTAAAAGTAATAGAAGCCATTGAGGAATGTTCAAATCACGCATCCAAAATGAAATCGGTTTTTGTTTCTGAACAATATCATATTCAGAAACGAGAACATTGTTGGCACCAAGATTTTTAACAACATGTTCTTGTAAGAGTGTGTTGGGATTCTATGTAAAAGAACCAAAACAAAAATGATCAGTTTATGTTTAAGAATATCAAATATACAAACTTGTTGTTTAACAGGAGCGGCAGCTTTACGTTTCGTTGCTCCACGCATTTGTTATCTTGATTGAAATTGTTATAAATTATTGGAATAGAATATGCCTTTGTTAATGTCCACGAACAAAAACACAAATGTTTGTCCTTCGCTTCCTACCAACTGATTTGCAAAAATTTTTTAAGTAAATAAGTTTCTTTGCACGGTAAAAAGTTTAAGTATGCAAACAAAAAACAACAAACGATTTTTTATTCTAAAATAAACAATCAACTTTGCATACTCATACGTCTTACTTGTCACATTTTTAATTCATTTTTTATGTTTGCTATTGTCAGATCTTGCTTTTCGAGTATTTTTTCAATACGTGGTTGGGTTAGCATGCAATTTTTTTTAATTGTTTAATGGAACAACTATAACATCAAGGCGTATTTTTTTTCTCGATGATAATCATTTGCTTTATTGTTAGAAGTAAAATTCAAGAATGATTTAGTATTTTCTTGCTTATTTCATGTTAAAATATTGACTTACAATAAAAACAGGTTTCCTTATGTTATAATCAAATATATGTGTTGTTAAAAAAGTCTATGATATGACGATCAAGTCATTATTAATTTCTTATGGCTTTTATTTAAACTACGTCAAAGAATTTTTTTCCTCTGCTGTTTGCTTGCCATCGACATATAGAAGGCTTCATCTCACGTTAAAGTTAATTCTCAACAAAGAAAACAGATGTTGATGTTTTACAAAATTTAAATGATTGTGGATGTGGATGTGGTTGTGGCAGACAATATCATTATTAAAGCCCCAGAAGAATAGAAGTCCACTGTCCGACTTGAACACAAAAGAAAAATATAAGAAATTCGATAGATTAGCGCATAGTTTCTCACTATTCAATAAATGCCCAAATGTTTCCTTCAATCAGATATGGAAGTCGCAAAGATCCAGAGTTCCCCTTGCAAAACTTTATAGTTATTACCACTGTATTCATTTAAAAGACACTGGAAAAGTACCATATGATTAGCATTTGATGGCACTCAAATGTACCTTTGTATTAGTATAAGGAAGCTTAATAAGACATGAAATTTCTATATTTCAACCCCGAAGGAACTGCGCTGTCAAGCATTTTTTATCAAAATTTATTTATCTTAGGATTTAATGGGACCCATAGAGGGTATGTCAAGTGCGAAGGTATGTTGTTAAGTTTTCTTATGTTCCATCCAAAAAAATGGAAAGATATTTTAGCTTATGTATTCCCTATGATAGAATAATCACTTGTCTTCTCTCAGATTTGAAAAGTTCAAAATTTTTAAATGTTAATTCAACTATTCATAAACTATTTAACACTTAAACCTAAATGTGACAATCATCTAATTGTTGATATTTCAATCAAATATGTCGTAACTTCTACATATATTAAACCAATTTTAAGAAATTTATTTATCTATCATCAGATCTTTGTTTCCTTTGCTCGTCAAATATACAGCAAAAATAAATAAACAACAAAAACAACATTAATACAATACGATTTGTACAGAAATGAACGTTGTGCATGAACATCTCATTTGACTAGATGGCACTCGTTTTGACAAAGAAAAAAAAAAGACAAAAAAAGTTATATAAATAATAAATAATGAGATTAAATATTGTGGAATGATATTCCAAACTTTTTAAACGGAATGTAAGTACATCAAAACTACAGATTCGACTACACATTATTAAAAAAAAAACAGACATGCTATTTCGATTCGAAAAGAAGAATTATATTTTCTTTGTACATTGCACATTCTCGATCTCGGCCTTAAGAAGTATTAAAAAGAAACAAACAAAATTTTAATTATCTCACTGTTGTGAAAAGAAAAGAAAAGAAATTTATCGCATTAGTTGTCGAATCAAATGCTGAGGTATTAATTGACAATTAATATTATTGAATAATATTGTTGATCGAACAATTTTCAAACAAATTTCACGTAATGATGAACATATTTGACAACAATGTTTAAGAATCATTGTACTATGTGCACTTGTTGATGATACAGCTGGATAAATTGATACATTCTTTGGTATTGAATCAAAAGCAATACCCATTGATTGATTATTAATTGTATATGAAAGTGTTCGAACATCAGCATCAAATTCTAAACCAACTAAAACTGGTCGTAGTGGTTCAAATGATTTCTCCAAATAAGAACGTGAAATCCCATTATGCCATAATAAACCATGATGTGATAAAGCCCAACCATATTGATCAATACCAATTAAATTAGTAAAATTTTCTGATACTAATTTTTGTTTTTTAGCTAAAATTAAAAATAATATGTATTTGTTTCTCTATAGAAGAAGTTCTCAGAAATGTCTTGAGTAAGGGGTAACTAGAACCCATCGGATTCAAATCTGAGTCTGCAGACATTCCTGTGAATTCCTAAAAAAGTTTATTAACTTACTTGCAATACCAAACATAATAGATGTTCCATAAACAGCTGGCATATATATTTCCCAATAAAATTTTCCATTCGATGGTAATGGTCTATCAGCAAGAATAACTTGTGTTGATGAACTTATTCTTGGATGAAATAAAATTTGTTGATTATTATTGATTAAAACTGTTGTTGAATTTGTTTTTATCCATTGCCATTTATTTTCAATACAAATTTTATTAAAATGATGTCGACTTTTAAGATGACATATTAAACTTGTCGACGACCACCATAATGATGGTGATGGTGGTGTAGATCGAACTACACTTCCACTACGAATGTTCGATTGTTGAATGATAATATTGTTTCTTCTTTTTCTTTTTCTTCGTCTTTTTTCTAGCCAATACCATCGTTGGAAAATTTTTTTTTCTTCTTCTTGTTTTTTGCTCATGTTCATTCACCAAGATTTTTCTTTATATGTTTGTGTATATGGCAAGCGACAGTAGACTGGCTATGTGTGTGTTTTTTTTGCCTCAATAGCACGCGTCGCTCAATTAGCAGAACAGGGAAAAAAAAGAGTTGACAAATGATATTAATGAATGCTCAGCACGATACGACTTCTCTCTCTCTCTGTCTCTTTCTCTCTTTGTCCAACATCTGCCAAAGTAAAAGATGCCATATGTTTTTATGTTCTACATTTTTAATGAAAGAGATAATAGTATATAAAGGACTCCTGAGGCAATATTCCAGTATATCTTATTTCGTCTTCGAATCGTTCGTCCGCATCATGTTGTATACAGAGCAATTAAAGTAAGATATATCGAATAACAGCTGGTGCATTTTCTCTCATCATGCGCTTGTTTTTGTTCAATTAATGATTGACGACACGCGACAAAGCGCCTTGTGAACTCGATGATCAATCAATAGAAGAGGAGGAAGTCGATTTCAATCTTTTATGTTAAATGAACAGTAAAGAGAGTGTGAGAGAAAAATGAAAGTAAGTATACACGTGACCATCTGTCATCGTGTACACGAAATTTGAAACAAAGAGCATATATACACACAATAGTGAAGTTAATCAAGTATTCTTTCTAATCCTGATAACGAGCACAACTGGCATTATATATATATGTATAACAGTTGTCCATAGAGAAAACGCCATTTGCTTTTCAATTTTCTATCATTGCTTGAGTGATTCTTAGCTCTTATAGCTTTCACATATTGTTTGCTGATCTTTATCATGAATGACCTGCTGAGAAGAGGAAAAGATTATGACGATTTGGATACACGGATAATTACATAAGCATCGAACTTTATGAATTAAATATAATTCTGAAAAATGTAATCAATTGGAATAAATGGATCTATTATGGATAGACAAAAAAACTCCGCTTAGAGAAAGGCTATGTACAAATGTGTATCAGCGTACAATTTCGAATTAAAGATTGAGTGTGTCCAAGCTGAAATGTTATTTCTAATATCGTACATTATTAGACTAATTTCAAACTTTAAATTCAAATATTTCCATCGATTTTCATATTGACAAGTATTAACAAAAAATCATTACTTATCCTCATGAAGTAGTCCTCTAATTTCCACTTTTTTTTTCTTTCTATCATCATAGTTTTCATTTCCGGTAGGACACTAAGAGTTTTAAGATATAAATATATTTCCGTTTCTTCGACAGCTATACACTTCATTAGATGTTGTGAAGTGTGACAGGTGTGTTGTCTAATCTCTCTCTCTCAATTATAAATTCTATGTGATTAAATTTGATTATCTGTATTAAAAAATATATACATGATGCGTACGTTACAAATAAAAAAAACCAATCTCATATTGCTTTAGTTAAATAAAACAAAAAGAAACCAATTAACAAGTCGAAAAGTTACATACATAAAACGTGTATAAGTCAAGCAAAAGAAAAAGAAAGCAGATCTTTGGATAAATAAAAAAAAATCTGATACGGAATGTGACAAGATGAGAAATAAAAACAACTATGGAAACAATATAAGAATGGAATGATGACAAAAATGGATTATATAAACATCAACATATATAAAAGCTTATCACGAAGAGAAATAAACAAACACAAGGACATGTATTTTATTTTCTTTTGATTTACATCAGTATGAGATTTTTTAATGATTTCATTTAGATGATGGAAATCATTGAGGGTTGCCTGATGGAAATGATCTTTGTTGACGAGCCTAAAATAAAATAAAATAATAGATAAAAATTTTGTCAATAGAAAACAGTATTTTTTCAGCAATCGGAAAAAAAATTTTATATATTAGATAGAAAAAAAAAGAAAAATCATGCATTGTATATTAATTGAGCAAGGTTAGATATTATGAGCACATGCTTTCGTACTGAATATTTTTCTATCGTTTATTTTGTGTTTGCTGATTTTTATTTGCTGTAAAACCTTGCATCATCTAAAATAATTTATAATATTGATATTGATAAGATCTGACTTTGTCATGTGGTTAAATATAATTGTAAATAAATGATGGATAGTTAAATGAAAGTTTTTAAAGATAAAGAATAATTATAAAACTTACTCGTGGTGGTATAAATCTACCTCGTCGTACTTCCGACATTGAATTATTATTAGTAATATTTCGATTACCACTTATATGATTATTTGAAGCTAGAGTTAATAATCCAAGTGGTATATCCGAAGTAGTAGATAATGAATTTGTTGTATTTGAATTTATTGTTCGTCTTGAAACAATTGATGTATTATTTGATCGTTCATTATCGACTTCTAAATCTTCGAGTTTTTGTGTTAATGCAAGTTTTTGTTCAATAGCCATACGAAGTAATGAATTAAGAGTTTTCTTTTCTTCGTCACATGAATGAACTTGTCTTTGTAATTCATTTAATTGTGTAGCATATTCATCACAACGTGCAGCAAACATAGCACGTAATGATGCAAATGTAGCTGCATCTTCTTTTAATGATTGTAATTCATTACGTAATTTTGACATTGTTTCAGTAACAATTAATTTTTCATTTTCATATTTTGATTTTAAATTAGCTAATGCTATTTCAGCTGTTTGTTTATTAGCTTTGAGAACTGTACGTAATGTACCAATTTGTTCACGTTTTGTTGTTAATAATGAACGAAGTTTGATAATCTAAATCACAAAAAGAAATAAACATTTGAACATGTTTTTTTGTTATTCAAGTGTTTTAATAGTGATTTCTAGAGCTCGACGAGTGGAAAATTTTTGAAGCTCCGACACAGACGAATCGTACTCTAATAATCTAAATAGAATTTTTCAATCAGAACTGGATAGTTATCCAAAAAAAGTGAGTTTTTCAGCCAAAGACCTTACTTCTCTCTATAAAAAAAAAACAATTTCATGCAAAGAAATTAGTTTTTAATAGCAAACGATAATCAAATGATCCACTATGTATGCTATTTAGATCTGATCATTATTCATAAATGGATTCTTGTGCACAAATATTTTGAAGTATTTCCATCTTTCATAAATCTTTTGCCAGAGTGAGTAAAACAATTGCGAAAAATTTCTGCTTACAAACGATACTAAAAGCATGGCATAGTCTACGTGATGAAATTCATTTCTTAAAGGAAAATGCTAAGAAAAACAACAAAAATCATAGTAGTTTCTGGTGTTACTAAAAAAAATGAAAATTATCTTTATTCGAATGTTTCCGTTTTTGACTATTCAGATTATAATAGTGTGAGTGTATGGATGTTCGTTTTCTCCTAATTCGCATTCTTTGTATTTTGAACACTTATCTCTGTCGCTATTGCTGATGTTATGATGTCTATATCACAGTAATAAAATGCAATCATAAGTAGAACTTGTATCAACTATGCAGCAAGACAAGACTTCAGTGTAGAAACACAGATATCAAGTTGTCAATCGCTAATCTGATTTCTATCAAAATAAGTTCGGTCTTGCTTATCTAATTAGTCCCAATCGGAAGAGTTGATTTTTAATACTGATAAATTTCAGACTGTAGTGTGTTTTTTTTTAATTTCTTACATATCATATAGTGAAAAAGAATGACTAGTTTCTTTTATATAATCATAAAAATGCTTAATTTACAAAATGAGTACCCTTGTAGTTTCACATACTCTTTCAAACGAAGAAAAGTAATAGGATACAGTGAAGCTCGTTTTATAATTCTGAGATGTACGATCAGAAAAGTATATTTTTCCAGCAGAAGGTGACTTGGAATTATTACTATTTTTATCCGATTCTCTTCATGTGAATGCAATTGAATAGATCAACATTAAACATTTAATCAACCATTCATTTATTCTCTATTACGTTACTTCATATGATTCATTGTAAAGAAGATAAGACCACAAGACAAAGCTAAAAGTATATTGTTCTTAACTCTGATTTAATCCGCTTAAAGTCGCTCAGATGAATTGTTTAGTAACTACAGAAAATATAAAAACGTCTATCGGATAATACCAGCTCAAATCAAAGGGCATCTCACAAGGAAACTTGTCCATATGTCAAATTGCTTTTCGACCTAGACAATGTTTATTTGATGTATACTAGTAAATAATAGAGAAGTCTAGAATGATTTGAATTTACGAATCTGGGTTTGTCGCGATGAATTTTTCAACAAATATCTGTGATCACGTATAAAATTGACTTTCGATTTCAAAGAGGATCATACTTTTTTTTATTGAAAAACTCACTAAAATTTTCATATCTCAAGATCGAAAAAATAATTTAATACTTGAAGATGTTTTCTCGTCAGTTGATGTTCTCCTAACGAGGAAACATTGTCAATTTATCAATTGATTTTGAATTCGAATTCAAAATCGATCGAAAATGTAAACTTACTTGATCTTGTAATTCTTTAGTTTCATTTGGTAGATCATTATTTGTTACAATTATATTCGTTGATGATTGTTCTTTATGTTTAATATGATCTAAAACTTTATTAAATGATTGTTTTAATTGTTTAATTTGTTCTTGAACAATATCTAAAATATGTTCATTCATAGCTGTATCAATAATTTTATTATTTGAATTAGTTAATTGTTGTTTTTTTATTTGAATATCATTTGATGGAATCGGTAAACCAGTAGTTGTAAAAATATACGAATGAATATTTTCTAATTCTTCACTTAAATTTATCTAAAAGTTGAAAGAAAAAAAAAAAAGTAAATAGAAAAAAATAGATATATACGTTTTTAATTTTCTTACTAAATTATCATGAGTTTTAATGAGCATTGTTTGTGTATCATTACATTGTTTCATCATAATATTAAGATCTTGTTTTAATTTAAATATTGTGTGTTCTTGTTCATCAGATTTTTTCTTAAATAATTCTTGATCACCATTAAATAAATGAAGATTTTTATTAATAATATTATCAATTTGTTCAATTGAATCAAGTGATGTTATTAAAAGATTATTTGTATCATCGGAATTTATTTGATTTAATGAAATTTTATTTGGAATAATAATTTCAATCATATGTTGAATTTTATGTGAAAGAATTTTAGTTTTTTCATTTATTGTTAATAATTGATTATCAAGTGAAGATTTTATTTGTGATAATTGTAAACATTCAAGTTCTAATTTACGAATTTCATTACCATGAATTTCACTAAAAAACAAAAAATATTTTTTGTTTTTTTTTTGAATTACAATAAAAAAAAAACAATATTTTTTACCTGAATAAATTACCCACTGGTTGTTGATCATTTTCTAAAATATCATTTGATGATGGAACATCACTTATATCATCATTTTCAATATCATCATCTTCACAAGTAAGTAGATAATCATCCGATGGATTTGTATGTGCAGCATTTAATGTCATACGGATTGAATCTAAATTACGAAGTGATTCCTATTTACAAAAAGAAAAAAAAAAGATAATCACAAAATAGAAATCTAAGTTTAAATGATTTAATTTTATTGTTACTTGTTGTATTCGATGATCTAATTGTTGTTTATAAATATGTTTTTGTTCTCGTTCATCACGAAGATTATTATGTAATTCAATTAATTGTGATTCAGCTATAGCTTTTAATGATTCAAGTTCTTTCATCATTCGATATAAATCATCTATCTATGAACAGTACAATTTTTTTCTTTCTTTTTTTTTTTATTTATTTATAAAGAATTTTTTAAACTTACATTTTCTTGTAATTGTTTATTTTCAACTTTTAATCCATCGTAATCAATAAGATTTTCTCTTAATCTTTGTACCTGTTGTTGTAATGTGACATTATCTTCTTCTAATTCTGTATTAGCATCCATAAGTCTTTGTTCTTGTCGTTTATTTTGTTTTAAATCATGTTTTAATTTAACTTGTAATTCATCTAATTCGTGTATACGTTCAGTAAGTTCTTGAGATTTTAAAAGAATTTTTTCATTTTCATTATGTAAACGTTCATTATCTTGTTTTAAGAAACGTAATTCATATTCATTACGTTGTATTTCTTTCATTAAATAGTCTTCACGTGTTTGTTTTTCATTTAATAATGTTTCTTCATTTGTTTCAACTTTTAATGTTTCTTCACGTTTATTAGCTTGTATTATTTTTAGTTGACTTTTTAATTGTTGTAATTCATATTTAAGTATTTCATGTTGATTTTGTAGTTCTTCATATTGTAATTCTAATTGACTTTTTTCACTAAGTAATGCCAAACCATATTCAGCTGCTTGTTTATTAGCTGAACGTAATTTAGTAATTTGAATATGAGGATCTTCATCATCGGATGTTGTCATGATAAATTATACGTTCAATAAATAAATGCAATTGAAAAGTTGCGTAGAAAGAGAAAACGAGAGAGAGAGAGGCAAAGAGAGAAAAAAAAAAGAATAAGAAGTAGAAAGGTTTAGTATTTGATACTAAAAAATATATACTTAATGATGTGATGAATGAAAAAAAATTTACAATGATTAATAACGAATGAATGGTTGGAAAGATGATTCTATAGAGAAAAAAAAGGTACAACATATGTACTAAATGCACAGGTAGATATCCACTTGGTATTTAATGGATGTTAGAAGAAAATATATGAAAATATAATAGAAAGAAATCTCTATTAACAAAATCATATATAATAACAATTCTATTTCCGGTATGTTAAACAAAAGTCTTTTATAGATGTCGCATTTATATGGAAAGTGATTTGATGTTCATCAAGAATGTAGTAGTTGAAATAGTATGAGAAATATTCATGAAGTAACTATTGCCGGTATAATATGCGTGATACTAATTATTATTATCTACATCTTCTTCAGACGTAGTCATAAGCATGTTTCCCTTTTTTTATCTATAGGTTTATATCTATGCACCTTATAATCTTTTTCTTTTTTCTTATTGTTAGTCATGCATCATGGATTTTTCTATTCTTCTTTCTTTCGAGTTGTTCTATAGATATATCTTTCCTTTGTTCATCGTTCATGGAATTTTTCATTAGAAATTTTTCAGTGCTTGTTATCACTCTATCTAAATCGTTATAAAAATAAAGTACAAGTAAGATTAAGATCTCACACCAACATCACCTAGATTGAGAAGACGACCCTTGTCGTAGAATTGGATGAGCAAAACAACATAGAAAAATGTTCAATTTTTCAAGGTTTGATTGAAACCTGGGCTGATGACTTTTGAATATTTTCTTGTTTGAAAAATTTTAAAAAACCAAGTAGCTAAATTTGAATTAACTGTTTATTATGGTGTGAAAAAAAAATGAAAGACAAACAAAATACTTTGTTTATTAAAAAAAACTCAAACGAAATAGATAATGTTAATAACAATTAAAACTGACTATTTGTTGTAATTATGTGGAAGATTATTGAAGATGTTTGTTAAAATATTGTTCGATATGATTAACGACTTCATCAACATGTGTCATATGTAAATGGTGTGGTCCATTAATTAATACTTTTTCAAACTGAAAATAAAAGAAATATATTTGATTTTCTTTCAATTATTAACTTTATTTGTATTCATTACTCACATTGGGATTATGTTCTTTGATAAAATCAAATAATTTTTCATTTCTTGGCCATTGAGGTTTTGTGGCACTTGAAAACAAAAAAAGACTATTGTATTATTCTATTATATTGGAACATACCCAATAAAAAGAACAGGTGCTTTTGTAGTTTGAAGTATACATCGAGCTATATCATCACTGATGGGTACAAGTGAAAACTATGAAGAAGAAAATCAAATATTACTATTCAAATTGATGATTCTGAACTCCTTCAAACAAGTACATATCACTCGAATAGATGAAAACTATGCGAGTAAATGATCGTATCCCCCAGGAACACTTCAGAAATGAATAGCACTTATGAGAGAACGATCAATCGCTACCCTATAGAAAGCTAGTCGATCGCAACAAATTCCAATGTGAAAAAATCCAAAATGTCACTATTTTTTTTTAAACTCATTTTTCGAAAACAAAAAAAAATTGTTATATTATAAACAACTCGATGTATTCTATGACCTGAGTAGATTCAAAAATATTTTAGAAAACTAGCATATAAATACCAAGGATATTTCTTACGATCATATTCGATAGTGGATAGGACATAATACATGAATTTCAAGGTTTAATCACTTAATACGTTATATTGAAAATAATATACCCGGAGATGCAGCATGGGAAGCTCTATAATTTACACTTTTTTGCTCTAAGATGAACAAATAGCACAAATGAAACAACTAAGTATCCAACAAGAATTATAGTGTGATTAGGTGCTTCTAGAAATATGTTTACGTCTCCAATTATATTAAAGCTGCTCATCTATCTGCTATGATTCATTTATTGATGAAATATGAAAAGAAGTTCGGCGAGTAACAACCGGTGATCTTTTTCGCAGCGTCAAAAATGGGTTGCACAGAATTTTGTCTATTTTGAGAGACAGAAAAGTGCAAGTATAAGACAGGTTATCCTTGGTAAACTGTAGGGCATTTCATGATTGTTTCGAAGTTGTTCTGTCGAAATCGGTTCATACGTCTTCACCTGAAAGTATATAATATTTATTATACTTACTACATTCAATGATTCATCACGAGTAAAATGTATTTTACCATCTAAAAAACAGATGTTCACTAATAAGAAAACTAGACAAAAAGTGATAAACCTGCATTTCGACGAATAGAACGTTCAATTAACAATTTAGCAGCTTCATCAGTAATGCCAGGTCGTGTAATTTTTGTTCTAAAAAAAAAAGAACTTGATTCAATTTTGTTATTTTCTTCAGCTTACTCTCTACTTACAATTCAAGTACTGTCTCAGATGTTAAATGAGGATCATGAGATCTAGGTGGCCTTTTATGGTATCTTAAGCTAGCATCAATCCTAGAAGCTTGAATTTTAAAATAATCCTCCATTAATGTTTCTGTTCGAGGTAGAGAATCGAGACAAATAAGACATAGAACTTCTTCTGGATAATTTGCTGCATACTACATATGAAACAAAAGTGATTATGTTCATCAATATTGATTACAAAAGAAAATCTACAGTCATTCCAAGTATTGCTCCATAACTATGACCAATAATAGAAAATTTTTCTTTATCCCAACGAAGACCTTTAAGGAAAAGATAACTACAGTATGCTTCTTTGAATGATAACAAAAAAATGAAGAACTAACTTTGAATAACAGTACGAAGATCTTGAAGATTATGTGCAATCGAATAATCAAAACCTTTAGGAATATGACTGGAAAATCCGTGACCAGCACGATCATATAAATAAATTTCATAATCTATAGAGGGAGATAATACAAACACTAAATTTCTTTTAATGTATTTACACCAAGCGGAAAAAATCAAATACAAATGAAATGCGATGCATTACAATACTTCATTCGTCACTCAAAATACTGAAGTCATAGTTTTTTCATTTTGAACTCGACTCACTTGGGTGATGATTTATTAGTTTTTCTGCAACTGGTAATAATGAATTAAGATTATCGAGCCAACCATGAATACCAATAATTTTTGTTGTTTTTTGACTAGGACTGCCAGTTGTTACTACATCATTTTTGAGTAAAATTCCCGTCAAAGTACCACCCCATATACATGTAATATTGAGTTGTGTTGGGCTCATCAATAATCTTTAAAATCATATCGTAAAAAAAAAATCATTCCTAGATTCGCGAAGTTTCTCAAATAAATGTTTATATTTGTTTTAATAAAGTTCAACAATCGAAATATATTTTTAAAAATTTTAATATATTAGAATATAATTAAATAAAAAAAGATACCAATTAAATTTTCCCTGATAGATGTAAAGGTAAAAAATGATTATTTAAGATATTTATTCAAATATCGATCGACGTGCTCGACAGTTTCATCAGCCTTTGTCATATGAAAATGATGAGGTCCATCGATCAACTGCATTTCAAACTATAATAGAAGAAAAATTAGTTATAATAATTTATTATGAAGAAAAAAACAATTGATTACTTACATTTGGATTATGTTCTTTTAATAATTCAAGTGAACGTTTAGATGCAGGCCATCGAGGCTTGATCGTTCTTAAAACAAGAAAATGAAGAATGTTAAACGTATAAATTTCAGTAAACGATTATCTATTTTACAATACCAGAGGTCTTAAAGTTATGTAAATAACTTTCGATCACAAGAAGATTAAAGAGTTTTTAAAGTATCACCATTCAAAAGATGAGTCTTGAGCGCATTGAAGCATGTCAATCGATCTAATTGGTCAAAATTGGATCAATTGAGTGAACCCTTCGTGAACATTTTGAAAATGGTTATTCTGGAGGCATTTCCTATTCGATTTAGACTTTTAAGGTGAGTATTTGATAGGAAAAACTCTTTTCTTTTGATCCAAGCAAGGCTGACATCCATAGGAGAGGTCAGAATACATTCAGATTTTTATGCTCCTGAACAGCTAGCGCAATTCTTATTAAAAAAAGACCTACGATATCATTTTTGAACATCGTAATTCAATTAATGCATCGGCCCTTTGTAGGCATACTTTTGAAATCCATCGAAAAATACAATCAGGATATTGGTTATACAAAATACCTCAGTCTACTTTTTTTGATCAAATGAAGCAGAGCAGGAAAATATCATCATATGAACGCCTCTAATTTCTAGCTTGTTTCGTTCAAGAGTTAGAAGACTTTTCCTGAGATTTCCGATTTCAGTCAATTGACTTGTGGTCACTCGGAAAAGCCGCTAGACAGGAATAAATCACCATACGAAGTCGAATAGTGATGTTTGTTTTTAGCTTCAAACTGATCAGGCGTTGTTATCTCAATATTTTTGAAATGTCTACTTCTTGATTACATAGATGAGATTATGAATTTTGGGAATTCGATCTATGATGGAGAATCAGTCCCTTCTTAGCTACTTTTCCGGATGCTCCTGGATCCATCAGCTGAAACTGGGAGTGTCAAGAAAAGCCTTATAACTCTTGAACGGAACAGGTTAGGAATGTCGGTCTTGCGTAGATTAAAAGAGAAAAGTTTTTACTATCAAATGGAAAATGTCTCAATGTTCCACAAGACTTCTCTTTTTAATGATAAAAGCCGCAAATATGTATCTTCTTCCTGTCGACAGTTATTTAGCTAACTGTAAGATCTTCTTTATTTTGAAACAGATAATAATAGTATATACCCAATGAACAGAATCGATGCTTGAATAACTTTAATTGCTTCTTCAGCCGAATGTTGACTAAATGGTAATAATTGCAACTATGAAAAACAAAAGCTAAATTTTATTTTCATCTTTATTAATTTTACTAACATTTCTTAATGCTTCATCTCGTGTAAAATATAGTTTATTATCTAAAGTATAGTATTCGAAATAGAGATGAGAAAAATTTTGAATAAAATTGTTACTAACGTTCATCTCGACGAACTGATCGTTCGACAAGCAATTTTGCTGATTCATCATCAATACCAAGTCTTGAACTTTTTACTCTTTAACATAATAAAAAAATATAAATAAATATACTATCGTCCAATATTAGATCCGTTTAGACCAATGTAGAATTTCACTTTGAACGCGTGCTGTCTGGGATCCGACATTGAACGAACATCCAGTAGCCCAATCTCGGATTTCAGATATGACGCGTCTAAGTGAAATGCTAAATAAGCTTAGATGGATCTGAGATTGGATGCTAACATGTAGATGTATTAAATTTGTTTCTATAATTGATTTCTGCTTACAATTCAATAGCTTTTTCATATGTTAATTCAGTTTGGTATGATTTAGGTGGTTGATTGTAATATGCAATACTCTTATCAATACGAGTAGCAGTGTTTTTCCATAAAGGGTTCGATGCAAATTCGCCTCCAATAATAGAATCAAATGCAACAAGACATGAAATTTCTTCTGGATAAGATGCTGCATACTATGAAATAAATGAATGTATCAACAGATAATATTCAAACAAAAGAATTTTACTGCAAATGAAATATGTGCTCCATAACTATGACCAAGCAAAGAATATTTTTCTTTATTCCAACCAAGAGCTATGATAAAGAGCAATAAAAATTTCTTTGAATCGTTATAAATCAAAAAAATAAAAACAAACTTTGTGCAACAATACGAAGATCTCGTAGACCATAAGCATACGAATAATCAGAACCCTTTGGAAGATGACTGGAAAACCCGTGACCAGAACGATCATATAAATAAATTTCATAATCTACCATTGGATAATAAAATCAGTTTGGTTTTTCGACAGGTATTAAGACTTACTTGGATTACGATCTATTAATCTTTCTGCTATAGGTAATAATGAATTAAGATTATCCAGCCATCCATGAACACCAATGATTTTCTTTGTTGGTTTCTTGACTGAGAGCGCAGCATGATTTCTTAGTAAAATTCCAGCCAAATGACCACCCCATACACAAGGAATATTTAACTTTGTTAACATCGATTAATTTTTTTGTTTCTGAAAATAATGAACAGCAATTTTAATCAATACAATAATGTTAAACAGAATTCCAAACTATTGATGAAAAATTCCAGGTTTCATTCGAATCTAGTATATATACATGTATATGTATCTCAAGTCTTCATGCATTAAAAATTATTACTATGGAGACTTTTTGATTGTGAAAAGTAAAAATTTTTCTAGGTTTAAAATGCAAAAATATTTATTTTTCTAATAATTTATTAGTTGAAACGGACTTTTACAGTATGTTTTTTAAGTGAAAGTTTTGATAACAGAAAAAACTGATTTTCTAATTTCGACTTGAAACTTTTGTATGGAGACAGATCTGGGTTTTTATGAATGTTTTTGACCTTATCGCTTTTTCTATTTTGAGTTATTACTTATGAGAATAGTGTGTTCTTTACATCCCCTTCTCTTTAAGATCTGTCTCTAAGCTAAGTTGCAAATCGAATTTCGAAAATCGGTTTTTCTGTTTAGACGTTCATAACTCATGTAGATATACATAAGGCACATAGTCTCGATTGAAAAATGATTATTCAGTTAGGACTTTTGAAATTTGGTAGATGCCAGAGGTAATTGATATTACAATTCAAATTTTTGTCGTCAAAGACTTTTTCTAAGTATTATAAACTTTATAAAGACTTGGTTGTAACAACAAGATCGAATAGAAAAAATTGGTAACGTTTGAGAACATTCCATTTTGAGTCAAAACACAATATTAAATCATCAAATCATTTATTTTGTATCAGAACAAGTTGAATAGAAAAAAAAATCAAAAACAATAAATCTGTTTTTACATCATATCACAATTTACTATATTGTATCATTGATATTGAAGATGGTTGAAGATATTTGTCGAAGTATTGTTCGATTCGATTAACAACTTCATCAACATGTGTCATATGAAGATGATGTGGTCCATCAATCAAAGTCATTTCGAACTTAATAATACAATTATTAAATCATTAAATAAATCAGCATTGCTTACTCACATTAAGATGATATTTTTTAAGTGAATCAAGTGTTTTTTGTGGTCTAGGCCATTGTGGATTAGATGCACTTGAAATCAAATCAATTATTTTTATTATTCTACTATACAAAAACATACCCAATAAAAAGAACAGATGCTTTCATTGCTTGAACAACATTTTGAACCATACTATCAGTGAATGGAACAAGTGATAGCTATGAAAATGAAAAGAGAATTTTACTTTGTTTCTTTTATAATACTTATTATACTAACTAATTTCAATGATTTATCACGAGTAAAATGCAATTTATTATCTAGTAAAAAGAAAAGAATTCATCTACAAGAAAAATAGATCATGATGATAAACCTGCATCTCGACGGACTGATCGTTCAATTAATAATTTAGCAGCTTCATCAGTAATACCAGGTCTGCTATTTTTTGTTCTAAAACAAAATATATTTGATCAAATTTTATACTATTTTTTTACGAACTGTTCAAGTGCTTTTTCAAATGTCAATTCTTCCGTATAGGTTCTCGATGAATCATTTAAATATTTTAAAGCATCATCAATACGAGAACCAACAGTTTTCCAGAATAAATCTGATGATACATGTGCACGAACTAAAGCATCAATGGCAACAAGACATAATACATTGTCTGGATAACTTGCTGCATACTAGATGAAAATAAAGATTATTTTTATTGATATTAATTATAGAACAAACTTAACTGTCATTCCAAGAATTGCTCCATAACTATGACCAATAATAGAAAATTTTTCTTTATCCCAACCAAGTGCTTAACAAAAGAATCATATTAAGATTTTTTCTAAATAAATAATAGATAAATATTAACCTTGAACAACAATACGTAGATCATGAAGATTATGTGCATTCGAATAATCAAAACCTTTTGGAAGATGACTTGAAAATCCATGACCAGCACGATCATATAAATAGATTTCATAATCTATCATTTGATAATGACATTATTATGTTTTTTGTAGACAAATGTTAAGACTTACTTGAATGATGCTCTATTAATTTTTCTGCCACAGGTAATAATGAATTAAGATTATCAAGCCATCCATGAATACCAATAATTTTCGTAGTGATTTTATTAAATTTACCGGTCGCTGCTATATCATTCTTGAGTAAAACTCCTGCTAAAGTACCACCCCATACACATGGAATATTAAATTCTGTTAAAATCATTAGCATTCTCTATAAGTAAATATTCAATAAAAATTTTGTTGGAGTTCATGAACCATTGCTAAGCTTTTCGAATAATTATATTCTATATGAAAATAATATTTGATGGGTTAAATATCTTTAGATGAATCGCAAAGAAATTTTCTAGACCACCGATTCATTTTCAATCAAAAGGCTCCTGTGAACTCATGTACAAAATGTACTGTAACTCCTTGAGTGTATTGTACTTTATCAAAGTGTTGAACGTTTCTTTCAGCTTATAGAAAAACTCTTTAGTATACACCCACCCAGTACTTTCCTCATTACATTTCAATGAAAAAAAGATAAATTTTTCATACTAAATTATATCTTTAAAAATAGAAAAAAAAATTGTATACATATTCATCATTTCTCTCTAACGACACACATCGTGAAAAAACAAAAATACAATATAAAATACAAAGCAAACAAACAAACACCTCTTCGTTAATACTATATATCTGACAAACTAAGAGAAAAAAGATGATACGATTTAAAATCAAGTTAATAGTACAAGCACTGTTCTTCTTAAAACGAAAAAAGAAAAAGAGAAAAATGTCCATCCCATTTACATAACTGAGTTATTCGTAATGCGTAACGTAAAGATCGTATTTAAACTAATGATTGACTATTACAAAAAATAATAATATGTTAAAAATTTTCTATAAATATTAACTACATCAATTTCGATTAGTATATCATAATTATTGAGATAATATTCGTATATAATGACAGATCAGTATCTATTTATAATGGAAGAGTAGATAAACATCGATGATTATAATTAGATAATTTATATTCATGAAAAAGAATTTCTGCACAACGATATAAATGTAATAAATCACCCTACACAAAAGAAAAACAGTTTTCTTTTTAAATTAAAAGTACAGATATTTTTTCCTTACATGATGGCGCCAAATTCCAGGTCGTTTTAAATAATAAAATTTTGCTAATTCATATACATTTAATATACCTTCAATTTCTATTTGTTCACTCATTGTATACAATGCGCAAAATGTTGCTTAAAAGAAACAATAGATTAATATAACAAAAAAAAAAAAAACTTTTATTTAAAAGGATAACAGTCGATAACTGATAAAACCGACTTCTATAGCACTTGCTTGCGTTTTGCCTAGCCCACTTGAAATAGTCGATGACTGTTATAGATACACTAAAATCAACTGTTTCATCTAATTATTTAATGAACCATTAATCTAGTTTTCCTACAGTTTGATAGCGCTACAAAATGGTATCACAGTACTGAGAAAAATTCACCTCTAGCTCCCCTCAGAGATGAGTCGAAAAATGATAGTTAAACTCAAAAAATGCTGATGATGAAACAATAACATCTGCATTTTTGTGAAATTCATTTTTGGACTCATTCCTAAGGGATCAAGAATGAGTTTTTTCGACGAAAAACAAAGCACATGAAAATACTTAAAACTCACATTGGTCTTCTCGATTTTGAATGCTGATTTAGAATATTGACGTTTTTTTATCTTACGGAATACTAATCGAGAAAACATAAAATTATGCCTAAAAAAATAGTATCTTTAGAATTATTTTAGAGATTAATGATTTTTCTTTGATATTGTTATATCATTTTGTAGCACTTGCAAAGCACTATCAAACCATGTGAAAACTAGATTGATCCTATCATTAAATTGATAGATAAGAAAAGCTAATCATTATCAACAGTCGGATTCAGTGTATCTGAGACAACCATTGACAATTTCAACTAGTTTAAGCATAATACTAACAAGTGCTACAAAACTAATATCATAAGAAATAACTTTCGAACACCTTGTATGAAAGTTTAACATCGAAGAAATCAAATTTCTTGAGCAAGCTAATTTCATCAGTTATCAACTTCCTTTCCTCTTCTTACCAGCACGATGACCACCAAAGAAGTCATGTACAACAATAGGTCCCTTAGATTTAAAATTTCTTATTGTATTTATAAGATTAAATGAAGTTTTAATCGGTGAACATGTTTCTGGCCAATAAGTACATGAAACTAATTTTACTTTTAATTCATAGTTTTCCTTTAAAGTTACAGAAAAAGAACAAAAAATAGTAATAGTAATATCAGAAAAAAGGTTTTCTTTCAAACCTGGATAGATTGAAGTGAGAAATCTCGATAAATATATTCATATTCAAAACGTTCATTAGTCAAACAAACAATGAAATCTCCACAATTCATTATTTGATTTACTAATGGCCAAAAATCAGGTACATCAAACTAAATAATCAGAAAGCATAATTTTTTATTATTTTTGTTTCAAATAAAATTTTACTTGTAATTTTTCATCGGCATATAAAGAAACAATGATAGTTGCATTAGTATTCCATATCATCTGCCAAAAATCAACTATTGTATTCATCATTGGATGTTGAGTAATGATAAATTGATCCGCACAATAATAACCCTACAGAAAAAAGAATTCATAAGACTCAGAAGTTGCATGAAAAAATTTTTCATCAACATGCGACTCTATGCTATTTATATTTTATACTATTTCTTTAGTTCAATTGACAAATAACTTTTAGAGAACTGTGGATTCATATCTAGATTCAATTTCACGCCCAATATATATTCTGTTTCGAATCTGAATGGATGGTAGCCTACCTAAGTAAAGCGTTTTGAGTATGGTTCACCTGTAGAGTGATTGCTTTCGGAAAGGATTCAATAAATAGTTGCAATCTTGACCCTTTAATTGGTCACGTATACAGAGTATGTCAGATATTAGTGAATAAAAAAACACTCGGGTATAGGCCTAGATGAACACAATAGATTATTAAACTGTTAATCGAAAAATTGGTTGGTTAGATTTGATTATGTATGTATGTATGTATGCCACTTGATGATTTTAGGAATTCTTAATTTCATATCGTCATGCAAAGTTCTTAGTTTCTTAATGTTCAATATAAAATCCGTTACTTACGTGAATATATGATGCATTAATATAGCTTCCACTTGTTTGCTTTCTATCTGTGGAAAGTATAACACGACATAAATTTAATGGTAAAATAGCTTGTGTTCTATTTTTTGCTAAATTTTCTTCCAAATGTCCAACTGATACTTGTTGATGTTTTGCTTTTATTTGTTCTATAATTAATTGAAATTGTTTTTCTATTCGTGTTAAATTTGAATCTTTATCATAAGTATTTAATGTTTTTATTATATAATCAATATTATTTTTATTTAATTCTAAATTATTATAACCAATAATAGATAATTGTGCAGCTTCAAAAAGAACATCATATATAAAAATAAATTGTTCTTCAGTTTGAACAAGAAAATTTCGTTGTTGTCGAATATGTTTTAAAAAAGAAGGTATATTTATAGATTGTTGTTCATTTAGTTTTTTTAACATTGTATCAATTACTATATAAGTTCCTGTACGACCAACACCGGCAGAACAATGAACAACTATTGGTCCATCTGTTTCTGTATTACAAGATGATGAATGACGTATAAATGAAAGAACAGGTAATGTAAATAAGGGTACACCATGATCAGGCCAATCAGTAAAATGAAATTGATAAACAAAACGTTCAGAATTGATGAGCTAAAATTAAAGAAAAAAAATGCACATGAAATTTTCAAAAAGTCAATCAGTTCTCATTGATATGACAAGCTTTAGGCGTGCTCGTTCGTTTCTATACAAAAATTCACCTCGTAAGAAAAAGTTGGAAAACCTAGTAGTAATCCATTTCGAGATATAAAGCCAAATATGAAACAATTGCTTCGTGTACCGTTATCATAACGTTATAATCAGCACTATGCGAGTTTGAGTATTCCTGTATTTACTTAAGTATATTGACTTAATAGTTTTACGTCTTTACGTTTCGTGCAAGCATCAACTATCACATTGTAGTTTCACACAAAAAGTTAAACTATTGTATATTTCATCGTAGTCAGTTAGTAAATCTCCCATTAGAAATGTTAGCTGACTTAAAGAAAATTAATGTTAAAACGCTCGAAAAAAATTCCAGAAGATGTTCTCTCATTCCATTAGCCGTTAACTAAATAATTTATTTGATTGTCTCAAGGAGAAGAAACTGTTGTCAATCAACGGGTGAAAAGAAGAACAAAAACAACAAGAACCTCTTACACCTCAATAACGAATTTGTTTACTCGGGTTACTATTTGCTCAAAATGAAACAAGTGTTCATGATTTTTTCTTTTTAACCGTTTCAAAAACTTTCTATTTTCATTATTTCATTATCATAGAGTATTTAAATAAAATATAAAATACAAACACATGTTGTTTGATTATCACATTAATATTATATTCTGCAAACTGTCCAAGATTTTTAAATCAAACCTTTAAAAATTGGCTATATACCATTGATCTTAAAAGTTTCAACTCATGAAGGAAACTTCTCTGCTGTTGGCTTCCAGTTTCAATGATGTTTTATTTTATATCCTCTACATCGTGTTCTAATAAAGACACTAAAAGGATTCAGATGCCTATTGAGGTTTGACTAACGTGAAAGATCCCCAGGTGACTCAAAGGTTTTGAGTTCATATTTTGCGTAGTGGTAGGGAATCTATAACTTAAAATAGGCACTGAGTTTTTCGATAAAATTCTATTCTCGAGTTTTGACCTGAAAAATTCGCATCGAAAAAGGCTTCAATGATTCTAGTTTGCACACAAAACTTCAGAGATTTTCGACCAAGTATCTCTGAGATACTCAACTTCCAAAATATACATCTTTTCCACGGTATCAATGGGAAACTAATTGAAAACTTCTGAAGTTTTGTGCATAAGCTATGCTTCCTGAGATCTTTATTTGGGTAAAGTGTTCAGACCAAAAGTCAACAATAAGGTTTCATTGAGAAATCGGGTTCATACAGGAAAAATGCACTAAAAGTAAGCACGAAATCTTCTGAGGAATATTCTCTTCTATCGATCCACCATGACTCATCACAATATGGACTTAAAGCTTTTAATCATCTGCAGACCTTCTCTTGTTAGTTTCACAGAAGTACATGACAAATAACACACTCATTCAGTCATAACATTCGTTGAAGTTCTAGAGAATCATGTATTAACACATTTTAAATGTGAAACGCACTAATTTTTTTAACCTGTGAATCAACTCTGATACAAAATCCTATTTGATCTAGTTTCTCGTTTACAGTTGCATCTCTTTACATGTAAAATATAATCTTGTATTGAATGTTTCTTATCTACAAACTACCGTTTATCATTATCAATTTCAATCAAAATAACATTGTAAACATGTGAAAATTCAATTATACCTTTTGATTTGTTTCACATCGAATTGAAAATATTCTTTTAACATAATATGCAAGAGAAATCGTATTGATTAGAGTTACTTGAATAGTTCCATATGTTTCAGTATCATCTAATGGCCAATAAACATCGCATTTGATCTAAAAATAATCTTTTTATATAAAAATTTATCTCAAACAAATCTTACTCTTCCACATTCTTTTACATTAGTAATCATTACTAATACTCTAACATTTTTTTCCCAAATCATTCTCCTAAGAATATAAACGAATAGAAAATTTCATGTTAAATTATATTTATCTACCAAAAATCATTTATGGTATTCATCATAGGTCCTTGTGTTGCAATATATGCATTAGTTTTGTGGAATCCCTAAATAAAAATTTTGTTTTAAAAAAAAAAAAGACTTCGAAAATTATTTTACATCAACATAATTTGCATTAATATAATTTTCTTTTCCATCGTTCTCATCCGAGGATAATTTTACACGTGAATGATCATCTAAATATAAAATGAATTTCTAATATACAAATCTTTTTTTTTTCTTTTTTCTATACATGTTAATATATTTATATAACGATTTTTACATTGATTATGTTCAAATTGTGATATATCAGCAGAAAAATTATACGTTTTTGATAAATCACAAATATTCTACAAAATAAAATAAAAAAAAAGCTTTCATTTCAAAAAAGATCAATGATTTTATACTTCAAATAATCGAATAAAACCAAAATCATTATTTTTATGCATATTTTTCACATACGCTGGAAATTGATTAATTGGAATTGATATTGTATCAAATTCCTCTACAGGGAAAAAAAAACTTTGAGATACTAATGCAATATAATATTAATAATCAACTAACCATAATTTATATCAACATTTTTTTCAACATTTTCATTCGTAGAATTATTAATTTGTACAAAACATGGTCTTGGATGATGATTTTTACGAAGTGAATTTATATGATGAAGTAATACACGATAACAAGTAGACATTAAACCTCTATTAATATAATACAATATATATTATTTATTTCGAAATCGATTTCTTACCTTTGATAAGCAATAACAAATACTAAAGCGGTTAAAATAATACTTAATACAATAAGACTGATAATAATACTGTTTGATATTCGATTATTTCGATTGATAGGTGCTAAACGAAGAAAAAAAAACGGGTAAAAAAATTTCAATAAAGAATATAAAATATACAAACCTAATCGATTAATCGAACACAAAATTGAAATATTTAATTTCTCACTTTTATTACTACCAATGAGATTATTTTCCACCATAATAGAATAATTTTCTTTTACATCAAAGATATCAGCAGTGACATACTAAAAGTATAGAAACAAAATGCATAATATTTTTAGAAGTAAAATTTTCTCTATAGTCAATCAGATATAACAAGGAGGATGAGAAATTACCAATGTTTATCGAAACAAACTCTTTCGTGATAGAAGATCTTTACTCGTATACTAAAGTTCAATTCATAAAAATATTTATTATGTCATAGGAACAGTCTGTTTCAATAGTCAAATAACCTTGTTAATTAGTAAATGTAGAGAAGGGAATATATAACACCTAGAGCGTTATTTCCTGAATAAGTCTCGTAGTATAAAAAAGAAGTGGAAGGTAACATGATGTGACAGTTTCCATCATATGACGAGACTAGAATGGTATATAATGAATAATTAATGACCAATTATACAAGACGACAGAAGGAAATAATATCTTAATTTTTGATGATTGACGAGATTTACACAGCCATCATAACATTAGATGTTACATTGCCACTAACAGCAGTAGCGAACTTAAACTCAAGAAAAATGTCGATAATGTTAATATACAAACTGTAATATATCTCATATTTTATTTATCTTGAACCTTCTTGTACTCATCGGTCATTGATGAAACTCTGAAAATTCATTCATTTTCATTATGTATATCAAAACTTGTAGAGCACGAACAAAAGAAAAAAGAATTTTGAAGTAGAATGCGAGACTTCTGGACTTTCACAGACAATGTAGCGAGCTATCTGTAAGTTTATAGACAAACGAAAAAGTTCTAGGACAGTATTGATTTTATTTCCTTCTACTGACTCGAATAAATTATCGAATGTATAGACGAAATTATTCCTTAGTGACATAACTTCAATCACACAAAAAAAAATGTCCATTTTGTAGAAAACTCCTACGGCTACAGAAAGCCTTGATTTACTTATCGTTAGCAACGTGGCGAAAAATGAAAAAAATTCTATTCAAACCGAATAGTCAGCTCATCCGTTAACAGATCATCTAATTAATTCATTACTTAGTCGAATAACCTAATCAATTAATAGTTAGCTTAAATAAACAACATTTTCATATATGTCTATGCTAAAAGAAATCATTGAAAAAAAAACAATCCTAATTAAAAAAAACAGACTCAAACGAAAGGCGGAGCTTGTCCTGTTACGTCTGAATCGCACATGCACAATATTAACTTCAATGAATTTCTTAATCAAATTTTTCTATTAATAACAGAAGTGATTTGTATGTTTAATGAAATATTTTATATTGTCGGAACTTACTTTCTGAATATCATAAATATTTTTTTTCATGAGCTGATTTTGATTTTTTTGATAGAATATATAATTTGGTTTAAGAGTCATTATTTGTTTATGATTATTATGTAAATGTATATTTATCATTAAATGAGATTTATGTTGATTAATTAATTTAATTGAACAAGTTAATGGTGAATAAATAGGATAAAAATCTTCACAATATTTATAAGTTGTTCCAAGAAATTCTAATTGTATTGTTGATACAATTAATTTTATTTTACATCTTAAATTTTTATTTCTTATATTATAAATAAATGAATTTAATGTTTTAATTATAGGTAATTGTTGTTTTGATGAATAAAGATTATCACTTAAAACTATATGATCTTCATCATTATATATAGTTAAATTATAAATAAGATTTTGCATTAAAAATTTTGAACGATTAAATTCAATTAATAATAATTGATGATTAAGACGATAACATGATATTGATTCATCAAGTAAATGACGATCAATTAGTTGATGAGATGAGATATTTTCATTTTTCTTTGATGATAATGTTCTTGTTGTTATTGTTACCTTTTGACTATGACGTTTCCAAATATCTACTGCTGATATATCAATTGAATAAAATGTATTTGAATATAAAGATGAAAATGTATAAGATAATTGTGTATGATTAACGAAAATACGAAATTGAATTGTATTATTAAGTCTAAGTAGAAAAGAAATTTTTAGAAAAATTTATTATGTGTCTTATTTCTTCTCTTACTTTAAAATTAAATCATAATAAGTTATATTAGCATTTCGATTGTAACTATCATCTTTCCATTGAAGAGTTAGACTTGTATTTGTTCTTCGTTTAATAGAAATATGTCGAATAGGTAATGGACGGTCTGAATATACAAGAAATCATTTATTATATGAATAAATTTAAAAAAAAATACCTGTAAATTATTTCGCTATGGTCCTCGTATTTAACTTTTTAGCCTAATAGTAATAGCAGTTTGGTTACTCTTTTGATAGTTGGCAAAGAATAACTGGACCAAAACTCGATTTGCAGTCATCTGTAGATCTGTTGTAGCTCGAGGAAAAAAACATCAGAGATCTCAGAGATATCTCATTTCTTAGAATATGCGTTACTCTACTTTGTCGTATGATGTGAATAAATTTTACAATCGAATTGTAGGCGCTAAAAAACTACATGTTTAGTTGTATCGAACTTTCAAATAGTATTGATATTAGTAGTAAACGGTCTATGTCACACAACACATTTCCATAATATATCTTGCTTGTTGGTAGAAAAAAAAATGTTTCCTACAGAATAAATTTGATCAATCAATTTTGTCACTTATATTTTTCTAAGATGGAACAATAAAAACCAAAATATTTTCTTATCAAAACCTTTACAAACTATAATGAACGACTGAAGAAAAAAATTTTTATTTCTTGGTTTGTCGCCAAAATACATTGGCATTGTACTGAATAAATAAATCAAGCATGATACATGTCAAAGATCTATAGAATATTCCTGAGTCGTCGTCTGATGCTCTGTACGTTTCTAATTATTAATGCTTGTTGAACAAGTTTCGACAGCGCAAAATTAGTTCTTGAGACACTCATCCATCCTGTCTTTAGACGAGTGAGATGATACAGCGTGTACTACGTAGAGATTTATACAACGTTGCATAGACGTACACTAGAGCTTAGTGTGACAGAGGACAGTTTCACGAGCCTTTGGTGTATTTCAAAAAATGAATCCGTAGAATATCGCTCAATGCTATTATTTGTAAAATGATATTTGAAATTTTCAAAGCAAGTAGATCTTGACGAGTAGAGCAAAATTTATCATTCCGGATGTTGTCTTCTATGAGATACTTGGACCATAATAGCCTCAACTTTCGTTTCCATTTCTTCGAGATGCTATTTTCGATCAAACTGAACAATTTTTTTTTATTGACACTAAACTTATTTATTTCGGAACAAAAAGAAAACTCATTCCAAACAGTGTATAGACTATGTGAAAAAATTCCAGGTCGATCACACATACACAGTTGGAGACACGCAAGCATGTTTAAATTAAATAACGTTTAAAGACAATATTTTGGATTCTGAAATGTAGTTATCTTTAATGAAAATAATGTATTATAACTAACGAAGCAAAAAAAAAGAAAAGAAACTCAATATAGATAATATATTCTATTCATAAGTTCCTCATACATGCAACGAGTTTTTCTTTTCACTTATGTAAACAATATTAGAGAAAAAAAGGGTAACAAAAGATTCTTTTTTAATCGTATAGTGTTCGCTTCATATATATAAATCAATCATGTTTGCTTTGAATGAGAAAAACAAACAAATGACTGCGATTATGAGAATAAGATGACAGCATATTCTCAAATTCATTTCTCCAGGCATCAGTCAATAGTATGAAAATGTGAAATCTGTTAATTTTCCATTTTCTCAATTATTATTCTAAATATATAACTCATAAACATAATTCTTACCAAAAATCCGAAGTTTAATTTTATATTTTTCATTTGTTTCAATTCCTGTTTGTGAAATACTTGAACAAATAAATTCTCGATCATATGGTTGTAAACCATAGATACGATAATATTCTTCATGAACATTTTCATATCGATTATTAATTACATCATACCATTGAATCTTATATTCATGTTTATGATTTAACGGACATCGAATTAATGTTATATTCGTTTGTGGATTAAGAAAAATAACTTGATTGATTTCATGAATAGTTATTAAAGAATTAAATGATAAATTAATCAATAGAAAAATTAATAATAAATAATAAATAAAATTAATATAATGTCTATTAAAACCGATATAGCTCATTCTAAAATTCCATATATACTATTCGATTTAACGAAAAACAAAACAAAACACCTGAAAATAAACATTGATGGAATAGGTAATTGACATTTGATTTTTCATTGGCCTATTCTTATATTCAATTGTAGTATTATGAAATGACGACATCTAACTATTAGATTAATGGAAAAAAAAACAGGTGATAGATGAAAAGATTTTCAATCAATAAAATAGTAAAGGACTCGGTCTTTTATTTTTTATGCATTTATATTATTGCTATTTGTTATTTAATAAAAAGTCTAGCGTGTTTCAATTATAATTATTGAAAAAGAAAAGAAGGGAAATTCATCATTTGTAGTTGATGTATTGTTAAGTCCCTCCTGTATTTTGCCAGGTCAATTAATATCTATTTTTTTCCCTTTTATCTTTAATGACGACGACCTAAATGATTGTATCGTAGTTCTATTGGGATTTTATTCGTAGTGAAGAAGAAAAGAACACGACAGCTAAATGTTTGTATCATTTATCACGAAATGTCACTTGTTTAGTTTATGACCCAAATCAAGAATGTTTGACTTGTTGGTTATTTTTATTATTGTCATTTGTTTCATAGAAAGCTTTAAATCATTTGTACAATAAACAGAATAATTCAAGTTTTTTGTATGTTAACTAAAGTTCGTTGGACACTTTTGTTATCAATTGATAAAAATATGAGTCAGTAAGAAGTAATGTCTCTTTATTATTCACTGATAAATTGAACCATGTACATAACAAGGTCAATTTTAGACCTATTAATAATTCTTATATAAGTTATCTTTTTGATGAAACCTTACATATAAATACTGCTGATTATTGGCTATGCTCTGTTAAATATATTAATCTTTCATATCAAACATAAATTGATCTTTCAATCGTGTATGCATACATGGTCAATGACGAATGAATTAACGTTTTCTGTAAAATTGATACAAAAACAATATGATTACATTTGAAAGAATAAATTCTATTTTTTCCTTTCAATTTCCTTTTTTATGAAAGAATATGCGAAATAATTAGGATTGTCATGATATGGAATGTCATTATATAAACTGTCTGATAACAAAAAAAAGAAGAATAGAAAGCGATAAGATTGTACTAAAACAAACAGAACACACACTATACATTCTAGTTGCCAACAAAGCACGATACAGGTCTTTGTCTTTGTCTAGCACTTTGTTCTGACTTGTACGACACAAAAAAAAGATATTAGTCGATATGTCGTTGTTCCTGTACGTTATTCAACAAAGAAAAGAAAAATATATATCTATATATCAGAATACGACAGGAAGAGATGCTTATGCGTCTTTCGTGCACTCATATTTTGTACAGGAATCTAAAAGAGAAAGAGAGAGAGAGAAAGGAGAAAAAAATTACGAATGAGACAGACATAGCTGGCGCATAGATGGATGAAACCGTTAGGACAGCTAACTGCACCACATGTTGAGAGTGTCGTCTTCGTCTATATAGTAAAGAATAAATCAAGCAAGAGATTGATGATACCCAACTAAGATTTGTTTTTTAGCACACCAACCGTTCGTTCGTTTTCTCCTTTTTCTTATTTATATTTATATTATTATGCTTTCATTTTAGAAGAAGAATTAGTTGTGGTAACAGACACAATAATATCGCTTATCTCAGAAAACTTTTTCTGTTTTTTTTTGTTAAAATAATCATTCGATAAGTATTCTACCAATTTATTATCTCCATTGAAATACAACAATGAGGTAAGAAGACAAATAAAATCACTATATAATTATTTCAAAAGATTCTTAATTCATCTGATAGTTTTAAGCAAAAAAAAAAGATTCTCTATGAGATTTATTTAATATATATATATATATGGTTAATAAACATAAAACAGTTGTTTAGCGGTTATCGTCATCATCAACCTTTTCAACAAAAAATACATATAGCGTGTGATAATAATAAGAAAGAATAGTGTTATAAGCATGTCTGTCTAATATAAGACAAAAAAAAAGCTTATTTTTAATTTTCTGTTTCTCATTAATAAATTAATTATTGAAACTCTCAATTAGATCAATAAGTATAATTAACAAAATTTAATCTGTTTTGAATGATTGATGTCTCATATGACAATTAAAGAAATTTTTCATGCTGAGAATTCTTAGGAAAAACAAAATCATTTATTTTTATATTTTATTCTAGTGTATGTACAAAATGTACGAATACATTTCCAGCTGGATCTCGTAAGTGTGTATTTGTTTGTTTGTTTTTCTCTATTAATTATTTTGGTTATTCTCATATATACATATATATATTTATATAGGTATAACAGAGTTTGATGGTAAACAATATCATGTATGTTTATAATGAAAAGAAAACTTGTAATATGAAATTCTAAAAAGAAAGATTGTTTTTGTTTTCTTTTCTAGCCTGAATGTTTTGCTTGTGTTGATTGTCGAAAAGCAATAACATCACAATTCTATCCATTTAATAATGATTATTTATGTGGAGCATGTTATGAACAACGTTTTCCACGTAAACGTTGTGCTAAATGTAATTCAGTGATTACATCGGCTGGTATTACATTTGCTGGAGCTTCTTATCATGCGGCTTGTTTCTTGTGTATGTATTCACAATTAGTATTCTTTTAGAAAAAAAAAAACAAGAACAATGAGAAATAATTAATCAAGAATATTAAAAACATTTCAAAAAATAACTTTCTAAGAACTAGTTAGATTTGTTTATCAGTAACCTTTAGAAAGATAGATGTTGCTGTTTTACTAGTACCATTTAAGATGATACTCTACATCATGATAACTAGGACACTACTACAAAGAACTTCAATTGTTTCAAATAGAATTTTCTTGTGGTTTAGTTTTCATATAAAAATATATTTGCATGTCGGAATTAACCTTGATAGCTTCTTCACTTAACTAAGTTTTTGAATAAAATAACCTTGAAGTAAATAATGATTATTAACAAGCATAATGGCTCTTATTTAAAAAAAAATCTTTACAAAGTAGACAATTTTCATAGACAAGACCATAGCCTTTGACGTGGAAGGAACTGAATTAGGCTTAACTCTCACACTTTTTGCGTTGCATCTGCAGAAATTTCACACGATTATAAAAAATTGTCTGTTAAGTTTAATAATGTAACTTTTCTCATTTTCTTTCTACCATCAACTGTCTGTCAATTTTTTTTTATTCTTTTCCACTTCGAACAACTATCGAGAGCTGTAGACAAGAGCTGAAATTCTTGTATAATCGATTATCAAGACATATTTTGTCTAAGTCTCATTAGATCTTGTTGGTAACTGACATGTAAAAATTCGAAGGTTATGTTTTTTTCGATCAACAAGTTTCTAAATCAATGGGTTTTATTTATTTAAGTCAAAATCAAATATACAATAAACAAACACAAGCTTCTATTCTTCGCTTTTTTTTTCGATGAATATTTCGAACTATTATTTGTAAAAATTTTAGGTGTAACATGTAAACAACCCATATCGGCTCATTCAAAAATATCAATGGTTGATGGTCAACCATGTTGTGCTAAATGTTATGAAGATCGACATGCAAAACGTTGTAGTCTTTGTCAGAAAGCTATTATTGCTGATGTTGAATATCTTGAATTTGAAGATAAATATTGGCATAAAGAATGTTTTACATGTTCAAAATGCCAGGTAGAAAAAAAACAAAATTATTTCTTTTTTCTTTGTTTTATCTTATTTCTATTTTTTTTTTGATTCTGTAGAAAGGTATTGCTGAAGAAAGTTTTTATCAAGATGGAAATTTAATTTTATGCAAAGACTGCATTTAATTATTCAAGAAAAAAAGAACAAAAAATTAGAATTTTGAAACTTTTAAAATCAATTATTTCTTTTTGTTTTTAAAAATTTTATGTGTGTGTGTGTGTGTGTGTGTGTGTGTTTGTTTTTGCTTTCAAAATTATATTGCTTCTACCATTTGGCTTTTCTTACTCGTCCCTGGCTATATTTTATTTTGACAATTTTATGATGCTTTATTAGTTTATTATTTTGTTCTCTTTGGAAAATAACATCGAGTTATAGATTTTACTATTTTAGTGAATTAATGAAGAAATTTAATCAAATACTTAGAAATATCACATAGTCGCGCAATAAAATTATGCTACTATTATTTTTTTTTTTACGCTTGAAAAAATTATTTTTCGATTTGTAAATAAAATACATTCTTCGATTATTGAAGTGTATCCATCAAATAAAATTATTTGATAGCCTTATAATTATGTAATAAAATTTAATCAAAAAAAGTTATTTTAATATGACAGGTTCAAATAGTTGCATATATTTTTTTCAACCAAAAATGTCATATTAAGACATAAATACTGAATTTATGTTATTCAATTGTAATTAAAGAAATATGGTGTCAATGCGTATGTATTCAATTTAAATGGTGATGTCAACCGACAAAATAAATTACTATTAAAGAATAGAGATGTCACAGCTAATAGTTCTATGAACTTAGAGCAAAAGGTTAGGCCTACTACTGAAAAGTTCGTTTTTTTTAACAAGGATTAGGTTAATTCTTTTCACATGACCTGTATTATGTAATAGCTTTCTTTTTCTACCTCCGAGTTTTCGACAGATCCGTTTTAGAAATCGTGTACAGTTTAGTTCCATTAATCGGAAAATATAAAATGAAATATGTCTCGACATTAACTCATAGACAAGGTACGGATGACCTTGTTCTATTTCAAGCATTAGTTGATACTAATTCAGTTACTTGATCGAGATCTATCACATATCTGTCAACAAATCATAAATCAAAATATGTTGTCATAGATAAATAAAGAAAAAAAAAACTTTCATATTTCCTTAGACAGTCGTAGAAATACAAGCCTGATGCAACGTAATAATTATGATAATACTATACCATAGCATGTGAGAACTAGTCGTACATAACTATGAAAAGACAAGTTTCATCAATGAACTTTAATGCAAATCAAATCAATTAAAATTCAAGCAATTTTTTGCAAAATTTCATACACTTTGTTTCCTTCTTTGGTATAATTTAAGTATTCTTGTATTATAAATTATTCTATCAAGCATACTCGACAATTATATCATGATTCTACTTTTCTTTTTTTAATATAAAATATTGAAAAATATTCATCATTATATACCATAAAAAGTCGAAATCAACATTTAAATTTAATCATTTCATACAAACTTGGTTCATAATAATAATAATAAGAAGAAGAAGAAAAAGAAATATAATTAAGACTTCGAAAATATCTGCAGTTTATGCAAATTTTTTTCGTATCTGAATTTATTTCAAAAAAATTCACTGTACATCATCAACTATTCCATATTCGTTCATCAATAAAACGATATTCTATTTATATCTTTGCTATACTCTAACAAAAACCATTTAATATACTTTTGATTCTATCTGATTATTTTCAAACATGCACACTCGATTTTGAAAAGAAGAAAAAAAAACGAAAAGAAAAAAACGAAGAAGAACGATTGTCAAATTCACCATATAGCAAACCAAGAAAAAAATAATAATAATTATGATACTTATAATAATTTAAAATCAATCGGTCATGCTTTTATTTGAATAAATATTTGCATCATGATTCATTATTCCGTTTGTTTCTAAACATTTCGCAATTGAAATATTTGGTATAAACCAATTTTCGACTAGAGTATATGAACCATCATGATCTGAATTCGATTTTTTTTCATATGTTACATTTGTATGTAATAATTTTCCATTATATTTATTTAATAATAATTGTGCTAATTCATCTCTTAACATAATATGACGTTCAATAGGTATATAAAAATAATCATCACAATAACTAACAGCCATGCCCATTTTTCGTGCTTGTTTAGCAAGTACAATACGTTGTAATTGATCAAATGGTTGACATGATATAAGTTTGTCATCAAATGGAAATGTACATTGACATGATATATTAGTTGGATCATTATAATTTGATATAATTTTTAAAAATTGTCTTCCAATTGGTTCAATATGAAATAAATAAATTAATTTTAATGGACCAATTAATGTTAATATTCTTCCACCTTGATTTAAATTTGATATTAATGTAAAATTTAAACCAATTTGTAATTGTTTATTTTGTTCATTTGTTGTATTTAAACGATTTTCTATTTCATTTACAAGACGATCAATTTGATAATATTTTGCTTCAGAACAAAGTTGTTTTAATTCAGTAAAATTTTCTGGTAAAAGTAATTTTTTATCACGAAAATAATTTAATATATAACGAAAATATGTACCATCTCGATCAATAAAATAATGACCATATTTATCTAATGGAGTTGATGTTCGATTTGAAATAATTAAAGCTAATAATGATTGAGAATCAACATTTTTATTGATTGTTGAATATGTTGTTGAATAAATATGACCGCCAATATTAAATGTAACAATATCATCCTTGAAAGTTTTCTTTTCATTATCTGTACATTTAAGTATGAGTGACGAGACAGATAAACTCCGGGGTGCAGGAACCGGCGGCGGTGGCGACGGCATCCTGAAAATATTCTGGAATATTGACATTCACAGACACCGAGAAAAGAAGGAACGAAGAACGACAACTAGGTTTCTTTTCTTCCTCTTTTCTTTTTGTGTTTTTTTTTGTTGTCGTCTTCTTTTTCTGATAGTACTGCGAAAAGCCCCGCTGGTAGCAATTAGAAAAGGCTGTAGTCTTTTTTTTTTCTTTTGCTCTCTTGAAAAAAATCTGCTATCGTTATAAGATTGATAATTATCAGAATAATGAAATAGAAAAACAAATGAACGAGATGAAAAAGATCTATCGAACTTCTGCTCTCTTTTTTTTTATTTAATTATTCGATCACTAATAAACGAAAGAAATTACATAATAGAAAAAACGATTTAGAGCATGTCATTGTTCGCTTTTTACTTATTGATTCCTAATGATCAAATGATACTTATAAGCGAGAATCTAAAATATAGTTTAGAAACACTCGATTCAAAGAATACAACTTAAAACTTCTAGAATCCTTTATATACGACAACGGCCTGATCGAATTACGAGAAAGATGAGTGAATCGTAAATAATGCTCGAATGCACAAATACACATTATACATACTGACTTTTATTACTTTAGCTCTTCTTTTTTTTTTCTCGTTCGCTTTTTCATTTTTTTTTTCTTCTTCTCTTTCGATCAACATACTTTTATAATTACTCTCTTGAACGACCTTGACAATCGACGAGACACACACGAGAAAAAAAAATATACCAAATCATACTAATCAAACTTTTGATCATATATATATATATATATATATATGTATATCTTTATGTGCACGAGTTCAATAAGGATTCATACTCAAATACATCTAGTAACCATCAAGTTCTTCCGAGTCAGTCAACAGTTCAATTTAGAGTAAAGAATAACCTTGCAGCTGTCGCCATTCTCCCGCCGCCGTCTCTCTATCCCTGTGGTATCATATATACAAGGTCATATTGTAAACGCAAGTCTTCGCAAGCAAAAGAAAGAAAAAAAACGAGCCGAGAGTTTTCCTTGGTATGGCTGAGAATATTAGTCGAGACAAACGGAATCAACAAACGATAAAAGAAAAGATAGATAATCAATGAAAAAAAAAAACTCTAAGTGTTGTCTAACAAGGACAAGAACAGTTTTATATAAATATGTCTTTACTATTAGTAGTAGTAGTAGTGTCGTAATAAACAAGAATCGAATAAAAAAAAATAGAAATATAAAATGGGTGTTTTTTTATTTATTTCGTTTCTTCTTCAAGTATGTTGTTAAGGTAAATAGCAGGTAATATGAACTCGAGGTTAAATCTCCCCAATCATAATAACAATAATAATATATAAAAAAAACAAAAACAATAGTAATATACTTTTTTCTTCATCTTACCTTCTTATATTTTTTCTTGTAATATCTTACTAAATGAATGTCCAAACTTTCTTTTTGTCTTTTATTATATATATACCATTAAATCTTATCTCATATATATACCATCTTTTTTTGTCATCACTGACTACCTTGTCTTCAAGAAATATGCACTTGGATACATACATATATGTATATTATGAATATTGTATTGGAGGTCAAGGCAGCTGAAACATCGTCGGTCTATGCAACCTTGAGTTTGATTAGTATGCATGTAGCATAAATAAATTTATGTATATATGTATATTGACACTCAATGTTCAGCAACAAGAAGAAAGAAAAAAAAAGACATATTTTTTGTCTTTTATTTATCAATTTATTTTATTTCATAGAGAATAATAGCAATAAAGCATGTTTTATATATTTATATACAAGTACACAGATGTGAGAAAACTCACTAAGGCAAGATTGATCATTCATATTTTGTTTATTCCTTGATTGAATTCTAGTATTCTTCGTCTAGAAATAATCAAAAAAAAAATATGTTCATGATGTTTCTATTTTTTTTTGTATTAAATATACCTGTAATTTCTATAGTCCATTCTGGATAATTTTTCTTGAGGATTTCGACTGTTTTTTCATGATCAGCTCGACCAAAACCCTAAAAAAGAAAAATTTTCTTCAAAATATTTTCTTAATTAAAATCGAAAAAATATTTACCATTGAATAACCATAAACTGATATTGTTCGTATTTGTGGATCAACACGAATACGACCACCACCTTTACAATCTAATGTTAATTTTGTTGGATCAATTTGACTTTCCATTATATCGAGAACATCAGCTAAAATAAAATAAATCATTCGAATTTGAATATTTATATTTTACAGTTTTGTTTTACCATGATAAGCACATGCAGCATCACCACGAACAACGAATTTTGATTTACCATATGTTGTTCCACGATCACGAACTTCAATTAATATATATTTAAAACAACCAGCTTCACCAATATCAACATCAGGTACATCTGATATTTCTCGAATTTTTTTACTCATTGATAAATCTATCCAAAATTGATGAAGAATATATTTTTCTTGAAAACGTTTTGCATATTGTAATAGTTCAAGGCTATTACGGCGTTTACGACTGCGTTCTTTAGCTGTTGGTGACATTGTGTGAAAAAAAAATAAGACGCAATCACTAGACGTTTATACACTTTCTGCTTGTCTTCTATCGATTACTTTTCTGTTTTTATAATGCTCGGGAAAAAAAGAGAAGAAAAGGTATAGACATAATGTCAGGTGTTGATTTTTTTTGCACTCTCTTATGCAAATTAAGTCTCGAATAAAAGGTATAATGCGCACATTTTTTTGTAAACAAAGCTAACTCAATCAAGACTAAAATGTGTCTTGCAAAAAGAGAGAAAAACGAGCACGATAAATGTAATAGACAAGTCGGCTGTCACTTGTATAAACGTGTGCATGAATGCAATAATAATAATTATTAGATTCAGTCGCACACCTCTGCATATGCGTGCCTATCTTATTAAAATTACGACGCATAGGTATGTTGCCTTCCGACATCAATGATTTGTTTGTTTCTTTTTATAAACATGACAAATTATGAATGACGATGTATAAGTAATACTGTGTCACTTATCGAACGATTCTCGAATAGATTAGTCCAAAGTTCGAAGTGTTAAAAAAATCATTATTCAGACAATATTATGAAAGAAAATCAGACAGTTGTGAAATAATTCTATGAATCAAAAATAAAATAGTTTCAAAGCTAGTATTTCATAACTATATGTCATTATTTTGATTCTTTAAAAAAAAACGAAACATTCATAGAAATTAGAAAATTTTCTTTAGTTTCGTTCTATTGATATTTTTTTTTCATAAATAAAAACTTACAGATACACATATTTATCCTCGGAGGACAATTTCTTATATGACTTCCTATTATTTTTCTTCTCTATTGAATAGATTATTATTTTTCAAAAATATCTCAATATTGATTTCTTACACAAAAACAAACATATACATTGTATCACAGAATCTTTTTTCTTTTTGAAAATGATTAGAAAACAAACATAATTTATTTTTTAAACACGTCGAATAATACTCAAAGCTGGTAATAAAATTTTTAAAATTTCACGCCATAACGATCGTGTTTTATCTGTTTTATCATAATAAAATTCTTTAGCTACATAGCAACCCATTACTCCAGCACTTCCAGCTGCCATTATTGTTGATCGAGTAAGCATAACTAAGCCACTTTGTTTCCATGTTAAATTTTTACATAAAAATTCTCCAAATGGTAAAAGACAATAAAAACTAATAGGTTTGACATAAAAAAATTCATTTAGAAATATAAAAAAACATATAAATGTTGATATTGTTGCATAGAATGTAAACGAAAGAAAACAATGTACATTACACGTGGCAATACAACGATTAACAAAAAAACAATGATGAAATCGATCAGAAAAATGTAATAAACATATAGGACATTTATTATTTTTTGTTATTAATGTAACTGGTAGAATAGCTGTAACAAGAAAAATTGCTAATTGATATTGAATAAAAATCCATATTAAAAGTAAATAAATATATGGATTAAGTGATGTTATTGTTGAAAGTATATAAAATAGTCCATGACTATAAATTAATAATAACCATCGACCAATTTTACTACATTCAAGTAAAATTCGAGATGTTTTCGCCACGCTTATATATATATATATAATCTGAAAAGAAATTGATGTTCAATGAAATTCATTTAATCTTTCCAATCGAAAAGAAAAAAGAAAAAACAACGAACGCACGCACAAAAAAAAACCATAAATCAAAACAAGATTTATTAAGCAAGTGCATCAACAAGTGCATCTTTTATTGTTTTATTATTTGTTGTTGTAGCACCAGTTAAATTATGTTGTCCCAATTTAAATACACTTTCAATAACACTTATTTCATGTGCTGTTGTATCTAATCCACAAAAACCAATCCAATCATTAACTAAAAGTCCAGCACCAATAACATCACTACCACGATTAACTGTGCCAGCAACAAGTGGTACTTGTAATAATGATGATAATTCTTCTTGTTCTTGTATAGATGTCTTTGGATGTACAAGACCACCTTGATTTGTAAATACTGAATAACTACCAACAAGAACACGATCAGCTATTGTTTGTCGAAAACATTCAACATTAAGTGTATCAGTTAAAATTTGTTCAGTTTCTTTATCTAAATCAGGATGTATTAATGCAACATAATCATTACATGCAATAACATTTCCTAATGCAGATAAACGTTCTTCACAACGTTTTAAACGAACATTATCTGGTAAAGAATTACGAATATGTTGTAATTCTTGATCAGTTGTTGATGATGGTACAAGAAGACCATGACGATTTCCAACTGTTAAACGACCAACAATACGACAATCACCTAAATAATATGAAAAGAATATAGTTGTTGATATGTAGAAAATAAAACAAAAAATTTTCTTTTTTTTCTTTTTTTGTTATTTACCAACTGATGAATGAATAACAGGAATATGATCACTGAGTTCACTTTCAAATGTTGAATAGAAATTTTCTGATCCACCAATACCGACAAGACAATAAGCGTTTGTTATGCGAGCAAAAACACCAATATCATTACTGCTTTCAAATTGTGTACGTACAGCCATGAAAAAATTTTAATTGAAAATTAATATTACTCGCTAATCTACAAAGAATGAATAGAGATTATCAATCTTTTGATGACTTTTGTATCATTCGAGTTTTCAACTGTAGAAAATAGCACATAAAAAGAAAATCTATAGTCGTCCTTCTCAAATACTGAAGTTAGTCATCTTGATCCGTCACCATCAAAAAAGAAAACATAGAAACAAAAGGAACAATATCTTCTTGTTTTTGTTCAGTGCAAATTTTTCAAGAAGAGCAAAAAGAAAAACAAAAAACAAATAGTGACAACAACAACAAACAATAAATTTGACGAAAACGTTTTATTTTCAATATTTGTCATTTAACTAACGTCGTTGATAAGTCGTTCGTCCAGTTCCGGCTGTTGTTTTACGTGAACCACTATTACCTGTTCCACGTTTTTTAAGTGGTCCTTTAACAAAAGCCCAATCCACATGAAGTGTATGACCAAGTAAATCTTGTCCATGTATACCTTCTAATGCTTCTTTTGCTTCTTTAAATGTTTCATATTCTACAAGTGCATATCCTTTAGCATAACCAGTTCTTCGATCCAAATTTAAATGCATATTTTTTATATTACCATATTCACGAAATAAATCATACATATTATCTTCTTGTGCTTCTTCATGTACATTTGTTATAAATAAAATCCAACCTTCAACAGATCTTGCTGGACCAGGATTTCCACTATCATTATCATTTGTAACTGTATCATAATCCCCTGTTTGCATTGCTAAACGATCACTTTGTTCATTGAAACCACGACCTTTTCTATGGCGTGCATTAGATTTAACTTGATTAATAGCATCATCGTCATCATGATCACCAACTATAATATCATTAGGATTATCCATTGTTTCATCTTCATCTTGAACCTCAACTTCAACATCAGCATTACTCATGTCTTTAGTTTTCGGAAAGAATTGATAGTAAATGAACGAATTAATATGTTGAAATGGAAAGATAAAAAAAAAATCAACAAATAAACAAAGAGGATAGGTCTAACGAATAATAATATGAACGAATATTATTTATTTTATTAGAAAATTTTTTTCTCTTATATTAAATTTAATTAATATTTGAATAAAAATTTGAAATAAAATAAAGAAAAAAAAACTGAAAAAAGAAAATTGACTGACATCTATATTAAATATGATTGGTAATATTAATGCAACAGATTTCTCTAAAACCATTTTGATTCCAAATGTGGTGTTTCATAGGAATTTTAATTTTATGTCCTATATCTTTCATACTCGCTCAATCTTTACCATTATTATTACTTGTTTCTTTCGATGGTTTTCGTCATGATTATCCGAAACTTCATGGACCTTTAAAAAACTTTCGTCGATTAGAAGAACGTGGTGTTCATGCACCGAATATGATACCAACTTTTGCAACAACAACATTTCCTAATCATTATACGTATGTTTATTTTTATTAGTTTGTTTTTTTGTATTAAAAACATTTTTATATACATAAAAAGAAGAAAAATTAACTAAACAAGGCAAAATCATTATGATCATTTCTAGACTACAAATCTAAAATGTACGAAGTAAGTAGATAACGTTGTGTAGAATACGTTTGTGTAATATTGTTGTGCAGTCATACTAACATGCATCGTATATTGTTTAGAATATATCTATGAATTGCATACTACTATAGAATTCGTGATCAATCTACAAATAATTCTTTCTAGAAGAGATCATCTAGCATAAAGACTAATCTGACAAATATTTTTTTTTATCTAAAATTTTCTTTGAGTTGCATTATATTAGAAATAACATGCTTGAAAAACTTAATATGGTGTATGATGAACAGATATAAGATAATTGTCTTTATTATCATTTAGTATAATAACTGGTCTTTACGAAGAAGTTCATGGTGTAATATCAAATCAAATGTTTGATCCAAAAACGAATGACATATTTGATCTACCAGATAATATGACACATATTAATTGGTGGCCATATCCATCAATATGGTCGATTAATGAACAACGAAAAGGAGCTCGATCTGGTGTTGTTGGTTGGCCACAACATCCCATTTACATATCAAAATATAAACCATTTAGTCGAAAACATGCATTTCGAGATATGATTGATCAAATGATACTTTGGTTTAATGATCCAATTGAACCAATTAATTTTGGTGCTATGTATTTTTTTGAACCTGATCTAACTGGTTAGTTTATTTTATTGAATATTTTATCATTTTGTATAAACATTTAGGTCATCGAACTGGACCTTATTCAATAAATATGACTAAAATGGTTCGTGAATGTGATGAAGTTCTAGGTTATTTATTAGATAAAATTGATACAAATGAAAAATTACGTAAGAATCTTCATTTAATTGTTACATCTGATCATGGAATGGAACAAATAAATGGTACAAATAATCCAATATATATTGAAGATTATATTGATAGAACAAAAGTGAAAGCATATGGTGCACCACCAGTAATGAGTATATTTGTTCAATCAGGTAAGTTAAATTTAATTCGATAAAAAGAAATGAAACTCTTTTTTCTTTCTAAAGCAATTGATATTGATATTGTTTTGAAAAATTTATCGAAAATTCCACATTCACAAAGTTATAAAAGACAAGATATACCTGAACGTTATCATTATAAAAATCATGAACGTATTGGTGATATATTGCTTGTTTTTGAAGCTGGTCATGAAATTCATCGACATCCATCTTGTATGAATAGAATTTTTTATTTTTATTCTGTTTTTCTTTTGATATTGAAATAGTTATAAAGATGGTGCAAAAAAATATAATTTAAGTCTTATACATGGTAATCATGGATATGATAATCAACATGATTCAATGAAATCAATATTTTATGCATATGGACCACAATTAAAACGAAATTTTACATTAGATAATTCATCTTTATTGTATAATGTTGATCTATTTGGTTTGATGTGTCTTCTATTGAATATAGAAAAATGTCCACCATCGAATGGATCATTAGAAAATATTCAATCATTTTTATTTGATCCAAATATAATAATTGATTTGGATAGAAGTATGCAAAAGAGAACCAGTGATTTAATCATATATTCAATAGGTAAGTAAAATCAATGGAATATTTAATGTAGTTAAATTATGCATAGATGAGATGAAATCGAGTTTTTTTTAGATTAGACGAAAAAAATGTTTTTTATTTTATTTTCTTTTAGTATTAACTGGCTTTGGTTTAATTATAATCGTGGCTTTTATATGGTAGATAAATTCATTTCGAAATATATTGACTATGGAAAAGAACTAACGTTCTAATTCGACGAAAAATACTAGACATAATGAACATGAATTTAGTCAAATTAATAATCTCATATTAATTTCGGCATATGAAAATCAACTAGTTAAATTTCGAACCTGTTTTTTTTCAGATCTTTAGAATAGATTTTTTTTGATTTATTATTTATAATGACCCAATAATGGAATTTAGTTAAATGACGAATATCTATATAACCATCTTTTTTGTCTAAAATATTTGAAAAAAGAAATTCTGTATCAGCATAAAATTCTGTGTAAAATGTAGCGAAATCTAAAACATACTAGACGTTAGAGTAATCTAAAAAAGACACATTTCAAAGTCCAGTTTCAGATAATTTTAAGGTCGAGAGTTCTCAAAAAACAGGCTCTAGTAGCTTTTTCGTCTAACTTTATAGATGAATGGAATCGAAAATCAATGAATAGTAAATGCGGATCAATGCAGTGTTTCAAGCTCTATCCGATTATAAAATTAAAACAACACAAAAATGTATAGACCAGATCTTCAGATACTTTCGAAAAACTTATTCCAGTTCTTTGATCTTATGAAGAATGTCATCATGTCTCAAAACCTATATCCTGCTATATTTAACATAGAATCAACGAAAGTTCTAGAAATGGTTTTTCATACATGGTGAACACGGTGGTGTTTTCGTCATCTGATAGAAATTGAAAAACTATGTTGATCCATGTACAGTACTCATTGTTTTCAAATTACATTAACGTATAAAAATGAAGTCAAAAAGTTCCTACAGTCTATGAATTCTTGAGCAGCATTTGAGTACTGGACACGAGAACTATCTGAAACTGAGCTTTGGAACCCTACTTTTTTTAGATTACTGTGAACTGAAAATCTTTTATATTCTTAGGATTTTTCACGTAGTTTTTGGTATTAACATCAAATATCAACTGTCATAGTGTGTATTTCGATAGAATAACAAAAAAAAGCATTGATAGTCTTGGGGTCAGCCACAAACGCAAAAGATATATGACAAGTAAATGTCATTTTGCATAAAAATTTACGCTGATTCAGAATATGTAATTATTTTTCAAAAATATTTCTGAAGAAAAATTGGCTTTATCGATACTCGTCGTTTTCTTTTTCAATGTAATTTAGATAATAAAGAAATCAAAATATGTACATTTCCATCAACACTTGTTCATTGATACTCATATCATTTTTCAATTCATTTATTTATTGTTCACCGATATTAAATGAAACTTCATCAACACCACTTCTATTATTAATATCCTTCGATGGATTTCGTTGGGATTATCCTGATTTATATAAATTATCAAATTTTAATTTATTAATGAAACGTGGTGTTCGTGTTAAATATATTGAGAATAATTTTGCAACTGTTACATTTCCTTTACATTATACAATTGTTACAGGCTTATATGAAGAAACACATGGAATTGTTGCTAATACGATTTATGATCCAAAATTACAAGCTGTAGCAACACTTGATACAATGAATGATACAAAATGGTGGTATGTATCTATTTGCATAACAAACATATTTATAGATAGTTACGAAAATAGCGAATGTGCTGGACAAGCTTTTATTGTTTTCAGTCTAGAGAAAACTATTCCAAAATTGATTTCTGGCCAGTTTATCATCTCGACCTAATGCAGAAGTTCGATTTATATAAACATTTCAACTTTTCTTGGTTTTTCACAATAGGAAAACGTTAACAATATTTTTTTGTTAGAACTATATGAATCTCGTAATAAATCTTCTGACAAATTGATTTTTTTATTGAGATATACTGATTAGTAGTTTATAAATAATCTACGATCAACACAATTAACTTTTACCATTCAGAAAATGTTTTAAAACTATTGATTGAACTTTTAAGGTCACAAAATCCATATTCTCAACCAATTTGGGTGAGTAATCAATTAGCAAATGATTCTAATCAACGACGATCTGGCGTCATAGCTTGGCCAGGTGGTGATACTCCAATCAATGGTCATCTTCCATTTAAATATCAATCATTTGATTTAAATCGTAAATTTGATTCAATACTTAAACAAATATTCGATTGGTTTCATGAACCTATTGATACTCGTATTAATTTTGGTGTTATCTATTATCCTGAACCTGATATAACTGGTAAAAATTAAATTTTTAATAATCATTATTTAAATTTACAAAAAAAAAAGAATTGTATAGGTCATCATCATGGTCCAATATCAAATGAAATGAATAAAACATTACAAGAATGTGATAATTATATTGGTCAACTTTTACAAATGATTGATAATGATGAATATTTAAAAACAAATTTAAATGTTATTATTACATCTGATCATGGAATGGAAGAGATAAAAAAAAATCATACAATTATACTGAAAGATTATATTGATATATCATTATGTTCAGCCTATGGTGGCCGTGCATTTGTTAATATATTTGTTAATTCAGGTAAATTCTTCTTGAATTGATATATAAGTTAATTGGTTTTAATTAAGAATCAAATATTGATCGTATTTATGCAAATTTATCAACCATTCCGAATTATGAAGTTTATAAAAAATCTCAAATACCGAAGAAATATCATTATCAATCAAATATACGAATTGGTGGTAAGTTATTATTCTATTTATAATTAATTTTATGTAACGAAAGGGATTGTCTATCGGTATTTATATGTTTGAAACGATTTTATTTGATAGAACAAATACTTTGGAGTAGAACTTCGATTTTGCTAACAGTTATTTAGTATGTATTATATTTTGTTAAGATATTTTATTCGTTGGCAAACCTGGTTATGAAATAATTGTGCCAGGAGATAATGCATCGATTGAATTACTCGGTGACCATGGTTATGGTAATCGTGTTAAATCGATGTATCCAATATTTTATGGATTTGGACCTGTATTTCAACAAAATATGCAAGCTGAACCATTTCATACTGTAGATATTTATTCATTAATGTCTCATATATTAAAACTGGAAAAAAGAATAACAAATGGTTCATTCGATAATGTGAAACATATTCTTCGAGATCATTCGGAAGGAAAACTTTTGAATCAAATAAACTCATTGATTTTAACAATTACAACGAACATTACAAGTTGGGGATTTATAAGTAAATTAATTTGTAAAAATTTCTGTAAGATATGTTTAATTATATGATTTTTGTTTAGCTTTTGGATGTGTAATTTTGGTAATTTTCATGGGTATTATTTATACGATAGTTGCTTGTCATCATTCTCAACAATTGATATATGTTGGATCACAATATGTTCCTGTTCGTTATCGTTTATTAAGTAATAATGAAGGTTCAAAGAGTAATTTGTTTGCTGACGAAAGTGAAAATGAAGAAGAAATTCAATAGAGACAAATAATTTATTGTGATATATTTTTATTTTATTTGTCTTTTCTTTTCAATTCCATATTGGATAGTGGTGACTGCTATTATACTCTTAGAAAGATAAAATACTAATAATTCGTTTGTTGTTTTTTTTTTATTTATTATAATTAAATGATTTTATCATTTATGTTTGAGAGAGTATTGAGGTAATCGGAAGATATTGTGAGGTATAATTAAATAAAAATTTGAGAAAAAGAAAATGATCAAATGTTTATTTATTACGAGATTTCTTATTATTAAGTTATTAAAGACTAGGAAAGTGAGGGTAAATCTATTTTATGGCACTCATATGAAATCCAATTAGTGCTTCTTTAGGCATTTAAGCTTAGCCACTAACAAGAAAAATCGACCAACTGATAAAACACATAGCTATGAGTACTTTGTAAAGAGTTTGTACCATCAACTTGTTGTTGCAGAAATACTGCATCTATCAATCAGATGGGATAAGGAACAAATATTTCAGCGTATCCTAACCTTCAATAACTGGACCTAGAGTAAGCCTTAATCTACTCAAGCCTCGTGATTTAGTCGTCTATGGTACTATTTTATCTTATATCAAGAATTCAATCAATTTTTTGAACTTATGAAAATATATACATCATGACGATGATTACTATATTAAAAATCAGAACTAATTATTTTGAAACATAAGAAATTCGACTATTCTATAGAATGATCAAGATTTTAATCTCAATCTCAATATATTTCGATAAAACTGAAATATTCTACTAAATTTAATAAATAAATCTTCATAGAACAATTTATCAAAATCCAAAATAAACATCCGTTGACTTGTTTAGATTAATATATTTTAGATCAAAATTTAAAATGATTGAAGAAGTGAATGAAAAACTACCATCAAAGAATGTTAAAAAGTCCAAAGATAATAAAGAAAATCTATCTTCTCATTCAAAATATGTGACACATCGAGCAACATATGGTCGAATACGTGTTGATCATCCGTCTAAATCTGAACAACGTCAAATGATTGAATCATTATACAAAACTTATGACCCAAGAAGTGAACAAAACCAAACATTTGATACTCAATTATGGTCATTAGTTGATGAGGATATTGATACTGAGAAACATGATATTGATTTCTATGGTTTAATTAATGCTCATTATCGAAATTTTAATTTTGAAAATAAACTTGCATCACCAAAAGAAGAAATCACAGATAATTATATTGATCAATTAGCTTTTCCTGAATTAACAACAAAAAAATCAGAAAATAAATCAAAAATTCTTCAAAAAGAAACAATAAAAGAATTAAAAAATGAAAAAATGAATTTTATTGATGAACAATATTTTGGTACATTAAAAACAATCGCCTATCACGATGAACAAACTAATAAAACTATACCAACAAAACGAATTGAAATGCCATCAGCAGATGAACTTAATTATATGGATCAACTTGTTTTCAATTCACCAATTTCATCAAAAGAAATAAAAAAACCTCAAACTTCAATTTCCGATAAACAAACAAATTCAACTCCACTTGAAAAATCAACAAATACTTCATCAGATAAACTTCTTGATATAAATTTTCAATTTCGTACTTCTACTCCAACTCCAAAACCTTCTAAAAAATCTTTACCTAATCTAAATGAATCTCCAATGGATACATATAATCCAAAACTTGAATCAATGCGTAGTATAAAATCAAAAGATTATTTCGATCCACCACGTCAGTCATCTCTTGATATACAAAAAGACAAAGATATTGAATCAGATAAAAATGCTACTCAATCAGCTGAACAGATTCGTGAACAATTAACAAAGAAAATTAATGTTCGTGATAGTTTAGGCTATCGAACATTTGAAAATCTTATACCGAATTGGTGGACAATGACGAAAGCAGAAATTGTTGATATATTAATTAAACAAATCTGTTTTATACGACGTAAGAATTCATTTTCTTTAATATAAACATAATTTTATTTGATTGATTTAGATGGTATTCTTGCATTAGATAAACCATATGGTCTTCCGACAATAGATAAGTAAATAAAATTTTTAATTTTCTTTAATTTTCGAGTTATCTTTTTTTTAGGTGGACCAGGAGTTCAAATGTCCATTGGTAAGTAAGGTATCATAGTTTCTTTCTTTATTTCACATATGGTTAGATAGAATCTGAGAAGCTGATCAACAATATGTGTATTAGAAACATGGGTTCAAGTATCAAAAAGTATTTTGTAATGGTATCTATTATCGACGTCAAAATATAAAGCAGAGCCATGTTTTTTTTAAATAACTTTCGATTGGAACATCATGGAGAAGTCGTTCAGAATATCGTTTTCAAAAATCCTCACCAAGAACTCATTTGATTAGTTCATAACTTCATAAATGAGTTTTCAAGCTTCAGTTTTTTAAGCTACATCTGAAACAAATCGTTTGATATTCAAAGGACATGACAAAATTCTAAACCTACATATTGTTGATAATCTTGTCACCCTCTATTTAATCATACATAAAGTAAGGAAATAGTGTCCTTGTTTATTTTTGCATTTTCAATATTTTATATAAAATATTGATTCATTTGTTTTTTGATTGAAATATATGTATTTATAGCTCATTTTATCCCACAAATAATTGAACGTTTAAATAAACCTGAGATAAAACAACTTCATTTATTACATCGACTTGATAAACAATCAACTGGTGTTTTACTTATGGCTTAGTAAAAGAAAAACTATTACCCATAAAAGTTATATTATATTCCATTTAGTACACCAGAAGCTGAACAACGATTACGTGAACTTATGCAAGAACGAAAAATCATTAAACAATATATAACTATTGTTCGTGGAATACCAAAACCATCTGAAGGTAAAAATTCAGTTTTTCATTATATAGAATGAATTTTTTTTTTCTAATAGGTGAAATTAATATACCAATTGTTGAAAGAAATGTTCGTGGTACATATAAAATGATGCTTTCACCTGACTATAATGATTTAACAAAATTAGTTATGCCTAAAGTCAAACGTGATCATATTAATAGTTCAACAGCAATAACAAAATATCGTGTAATTGATTCGAATTATGAAGTTTCATTAGTAGAATGTCAACCAGTTACAGGTAAATTTCATCAAATACATTCATGTTCGTTTCACATTGACAATACCTTACGAGAGAAGTCTAGCAAATAATAAATCGCTTTTAAGCCGAGACTGAGTATATAAAGTAGACTAAAATGAACTATGCATCAAAGATGTGTATGTTATTAATTTATTGCTACGGAGATGCTGCACTTTTACGACTTTTTTTTTTAAATGAACGCCGTAGTAACAGAACGATTCTATCGTAAGATAGAATTATGGTAGTACGGTGTCTTGAAGATCTCATATAAACTGGCAGATTTGATGTTCTTAGTCTGGGATAAAAGCAAATAAAAAAAAAATCTGAAGCTGTTTTCATTAAAGACTGGCCTTATGCAAAGTTTCAAGTCGAAAATCAAAAATGACTTTTTCTGTTACCACAGCATTCATTTAAAGAATACTGTGAAAGGAAAGTATTTTCACATTCAACGACTTTTTGCATATCCTAATATGTATAGATGGTTAGGTATTAGAAAAGACGCGAAATAATAGCGCAGAAATACAAAGCATTGCTTTTTCTATCAGATCACATAGACGCAACTTTCTCTAAGGTTTTTTTAAGGAACTAAAATACCTCCGCCACTACTTTTCATCCGCCTTAAATTTATTTGTTATGCTTATATAAATAAACAAATTAAGATAAACAATAGAAATTCGCTCATACTCATTACGTTCATATACTTCAATATCAGAAATATCTCTTATATCATTACATGAAACTGTATCAACATACAACTTTATTATAAATTGATTTATTTCAAAACTTTCAGGTGTCAAACATCAAATTCGTACACATTTAGCTCATGCACTTGGAACACCTATATTAGGTGATCATAAATATTCTCATTATGCTAAATTAGCACCACAAGTAAGATTAAAACTTAATATTTTTTCTTCTAAAATTATTTGTTTTTTATAATATAGAAATTATCATTTGCAACATTAAAAAAATTAGGTGTACGACAAGCAAAAGTTCGTACAATTCCATTATGTTTACATTCATATTCAATGGCCATACCAAATTTTCTTCATCATCAACAGAATATATTTATTCGTGCTCGTTTATCACATCATTTACGTTATTTCATTCAATGTCTTCGACTACGAATGATTAAATAAATATTTCTCATGTGTCTTCTTTTCTTTATTTTAATAAAAGAGAAAAAAAAAATAGTCATGCACACAATTAGATAATATTCATAACTGGTGCAACATCTAAATAAAAAGAAAAATATCAAGAATAAAATTTTGTTTTTCTGTACTATTTAAATCTTACGTTCAAATTTAATCTTTTCAACTATATTTCGAGATTTAATATTTTCTTCATGATTAGCAATCCAGATATAATTAGGATCATCAGCAAGTACTTTCCATCCACGAGTTTTAATTAATGCTTCAAAATCATTGTCTAATGAAACGAAATATTAGATTTTGATTGGAATAAAAAAAAACGTAGTCTTACTGTTAAGACGACCTAATGCTGATTGTAATTCTTGTTGATTTATTGTTTGATAGGTTCGATTTATTGTTTGGCAAATAACTAGAATTAAAGAAAATCAAATGAAATAAAATAGAAAATGAATTTTACGAACATTCTCGAATACGATCTTCAAAACCTGGAATTTTCACCGTGGTGCGTTCCAATAATTCCTAAAAATGACAAGTTTAAATATATTTATTGTTTAGTTGATCTTAATTAATATTATGAATGATTAACAAATGACTCTAGCGAAATTCGAACAATAGATTGCATCTTGACAAAATGAAGTGCTGTTATCTAATTCAAAGAATAACTGGTTCCGATCTTGTTCTAGTCCCGACGAAACGAACTTGCTTAGATTCAATCATGTAAAATTCGTCATATTTAGAGATCCCTGCACATAAGTATCTTTTTAGTTCTGTCTCCAAAAATTTCTTTTTCAATGTTTTCGGTACTGGTCTAGAGAAAAACATGTCAGAATTTATTTGACGACTGGCACAGTTCGTGTCATCTCTCTTCTGAATTATATTTTAATGAGTACGATTTATACAATTATTCATTTAAAACCATGGAACATTTAACTAAAAACTGAGACTTCTCTTCGTATTTCGTACTCGAATAAAACCAACTTATTAGCACATTTAAAACTTACCCAAAAATCTTGAAATCGACATGATTCAAGTAATTCAGCAAATTGTAAAGCTTCAACTATACGTGAATTTTCTTGACACTGATAAAAAAAAGAAGATAAATTTCATGAAAGAAAAAATCTTTTTTTTTTTTTATTGAAAATACTTTTTGTGTATCAAGTAAATATTTGCAGAGTAAGAAATCTGATTTTGGTAAATTTGTTAATGCCAAAAGAAGAATATCTGCAACTTTATCAGCTTGAAAATAACTTGGATCAAATTGATACATTTTTAATAAAGCCATATTAGCATCAAAATCATAAAAACGATTTTCAATTTGATATTGAACATAATCTTCAAGCATTGGACGACAATTTGGATTATATCTAATTCAATTTAAGATGATTATATTAGAAAGAATGAAAATAAAATTTCTATACCGTTCAATGCCTTTAAGTTTTCGTGCTACTTCTTCAGCACGTGTATTTGTACGAGGATGACTAATAGATGGCATTTTTCTTTTTCTTTTAGAGAAATATCTGAAATTAAAATAAATGACGAGTTTATTTTGTACAAGAAATTATTTATTTTAAAAAAGATCAAGTTTTTTTGTACGAATTTGTTCACGTTTAGATTGAAGATTATTTTCAATATGTTTTAATTTATTATATTGAATTTTTTTAGCTGCTAGACGTTGTTTAATATTTGAAGCAACGATTGATGTACCTCTAGAAAAGAAAATATGTTTGTGATTTTTTTTTAAATTTTGATATGAAGAATTTTGTTTGTAGACTAACCGAAGTTCATTGTATTTTAATCGTTCTTCTAAATGATGAATTTCACGTTCTAATACTCGAATTTCATCATTGCGTCGACCGATCTAAAAAGCATACAAGACAATATTGCAAGTTGGCGATGAGTATCTTATAATAGTTCTCAAGTATTATAAGCAATGTATCGATCCTTGGCACATATAAACGATTCACGATAGACTACTGAATGCAATGGAGTCCTTTCCATTAAAATAAATCTTACTTGTGTATGTAAAAGTAACGATGTTTCATCAACAGTTGTTTTATCATCTTTAAATCGATCTAATGGTGATGGTGTTGAATCTTGATTAGCTAAAGAAATAGGACTTTTTTTTCTTCTAAAAGTTGATTAAAGATTTGATTAGAAACAAACTTGATTTCATTTCTGATGTAAAGATTTTATCAAGAAATGTAAAAACATCTTTTTGTTCAGGTAATTTTTTTTGTTTTTCAATTGTTAATTTTTTTCGATGTTTTTTTATTTTAAATGCATCAGGTAATTTATTCTTTTTCTTTAATTCGAGTACAGCATCTAACGATTTTCCTATCACAATAAAAAGATAAATTATAGATTAATAAAATTTAATTCAAGTAATCAATTACCTTTCGGTAAAACATGAGCTTCAATCGGATTTACTAATCCTTGATTTTGTCGTCCAAGACCTTGCCCAGATTTATAACCCATTTTTGCAAGTAATTTAGAACCAATGCCCTGTAATATATATTTTAAAAAGTGCTAAATGTACAGTTGATCTTCTTAAGAAACTTTTTCAGCTGATCAATTATCAACTACACTGATTTTCCAATTTAGTGAATTTCATCATACAAAAAAAATACTGCTTACTTTCGTATGTTTTTCCCAAATTCCTAAATTTCCTAATCTTGGTTGATCAGTAGATGAACTTGGAATATCTGCAATTGAATTGAGAACATCATTCATGAGATTTTCATCTTCATTATTTGCTTGAGTCTCATCTGAAGAGTCTTCAAAAAAAAAAACCAAATGTTTTTTGAATTTCAATATTCTATTGAATTATTTTACTTGTTGTAATTATTGATTCAAATGGTATAGCTTCCAATGCATTAAAATGAGTAAAACGTATTACACAAAGATGATTATCATTTTCAACACTTTCAATAACACCTGGTTTCCATAAATCATCACTACCTTGTTTACATACAACATTTTGACCAACAGCAAGAGTACTACGAAAAATAATCTTTTTCAATATTAACATACTAATAAAAAAAATAATATATCTTTACTCATAATTTACTTCAATATATTCAAGAAGATCATCGACAGAAACAACAAAACCATGAGAATATCTGAATGAAGAAAAGAAGTTTAAATTAAAAGAAGATTTTTTGTTTCTTACTTGCAAGTGTCACCAAAACGACAAGTATCATTGAGAAAATGTGAACATGGTTTAAAATCAAGACGTGTTGGTTGACAAAATAAAACTCGAACCTAACGTTCACAAATATATAAATTCAAAAAAAAATGAATATTTGAATACATACTGTATTATCTGCTATAGATTCAATACCAAGTACAACAGCATTATGTCGTTGTAAACCAGTGATAGGACAATTGATTTTTACACTACAATTTGTACCTAGGAAAATAATAGTCAACGAAATGAATTATTAACAAGAATAAAAATGTTGACGAACCAACAATTTCTTTAACAATCAGATTTTCGGCTTGTTCTTCTTCATCATCATCGTCGTCGTCGTCGTCGTCGTCTTCATCTTCTTCATCATCACTACTATCAGAATCGGATGAAAGAATGACACAAGGTTTTGATTCAGACTCGTCAATTGTAATTACTAATTCATCTAAAAATGAAAGTATATAAATGGTGAAAATTAGATGAATATGCATACCATTGTTACTATTCGATGTATTAAAAAGAGAAAGAGCTTCACGAAGATCTGAACGTAATTGTCTTAATTCAGCACTTGCAACTCCATCTTTTTCTTCTTGTTGAAGAATAGCATCTTCAACATATTTTAACTAGAAATTCATAATTTTTTTTTAAATTTTATTATTCTCATGCTGCTTACTTGTGTTTGATAGGCAAGAATACATTCATTATCATTCTGTGAATCAGTCATAATAAACACGTCTAACAAAAAAAAAAAATAATCACTGATAAAATCCAAATGAGCTAATCTTAGTTAGTAAGTTACAAAATTTCGAATAAATCCATATTAAATTATTCTTTACAAAACTTCAAATATTGGTCTACATCAGCGAATTGGAAAGTTTAGCATAGATGTCGCTTGATGTGACAGTTTCACCTAGTTAAATCTTGTTACTGATGTCTACTTTTGTGGTATCATTATTAATAAAAAATAAAATTCGAAAACTAAGTGAAAACAGTCGATCGATGTGCCTTGTACAATTGCCTTGAGCGAATTCACCATGGTTCTAAGAGGCATGGTTTCGACTGACATCTAAACTCCTACAGTGCTGGGTAACCCAATGTGCGTATAGGATGTGCATAATTTGAAGAAGAACTGACGACATTGTAAGTAACCTAAATACTTGACTTTTGCTTGAGATACTGATCAATAAAAAAATGTTGCTATAGAATATCGTATTTTTTTCATATGTCAAACTAAATACTCAGCATACCCCTAAATTCACTCCGTATGAAACATTTGGAGGTCGACTATAACTTATAGTTTAAAAACAGTCGAATAAAAACACAAAACATTTTATTAAGTAGGATTTTTTGACAAGTCTTTAATCGAGTTTTCGATAATAAAACACAGAGTATGAAAATATATATCGTAACAATCAGAGTATTGTCTTGCATGATGAGAAAGTTCTAGAAATCAGATGACATTCAAGTTTCACTCGGCTGCAAAATGCAGTGCCAAGCTTCCAATGTCGATTGACGTTTGAATCAATATATACAAAAAAATCAATCATCGCGTGGACTATTGAAAATGAAACGTTTTTCTTTCAACGATAATTACGCTATATTGGAATCAAAGCTTGATTTTGGGGTAAGTGTGGGTGTTGATGTGGAGCGTGAGCACGAGTTGTTGTTGGTGGTGTGTGATACTGGATCTTCTCTCAATATTTTCGACAACCAAAACACTCACACCCTCAACGCCATCAAAGAAACCATGCACAAGTAACAATTATATATCATTAGGAATAAGTTCAAGAAAAAGGAAATTATTATTGTTGAAATCAAGTCTTATTCATCTTTTTTTGTAAATAAACTTATTTTTTGAAATAAACGGATTATGAAAATATATTCAGAAATATACGAAATATTATTTTTTTCAATGTCATTAGTCGATAGACCTCAAAGTTCTGCATATTTATTTCGATTTAGTTCAAGAAGTTGTGATTGAAAAAATTATATGGGTATTCATTTACAGACATGAGAAAAAACAGCAATACTGGTCATCTGTCATCATACAAAAAAGTGCTTAAAGTTTTTTCTCTCCTAACAAATAAAGTTGATAGTTACACAACCAGATTGAGCTGAAAAAAGAGAAAAAGATTCAATTTTGACGAGTTCTTCTATTGCTTAGTGACATCGTAGGTGCTTTCTGAATGAAATACAACAAAGATCAAATACTCTATCAGCTTTGTTGCATGGCTTCTTTATAGCTTAACTCTATGCTAAATCAAGACGAATCCAAATCTTAGTCAAATATGTCCACTATCTTTGAGAAAAAGACTCATATCATGTTAAGTCTTTTGTGTCTACTTAAAGAAAAACATGTTGATGTTTTTGTTGCAATGATCATATCACTTTATCATATTATGATTATTATTACGTTTCAAAATAGTTTTTATGCCGTTTTTCAGTTAATTCAATCTACAATCAAGACGTTGTTCCAAATAGTTATCATAAAAAATGTGTCTTTTCACTTGAAGTTTGATACTAAAGTTAACGAGTTAATGCTTAACGCAGTAAAATTAGCTCAAGTTAAACGAGCAAAAACGTCATTTTCAATTTGAATATTCATGTTTCGATACAGCCAGAATTTTCAGCACTTTAAAATTGGGAAAAACACGTAAGTTGAAAACAAATTCACCGATTTGAATGAATTCATACTCTCCAAACACGTTTAAACGTGTTTCTTTTCAGAGATTGAATATGTCTAGACAGTAAATCTACTTAGATTATAACACTATATTAATTTTAATTAATTTTAGATGAACAAGTCATCATAATCAATTTATCTTTAGAAAAAACATTACGATTTTATAATAAGAACAAACTGCACTTTCATTTTTAAAGTTCATGGTGAGAATTTTTGTTTCCCACTCTTGAGTCATTATTTAACATATGTAAATTTCAAAGAATAACTGATATGAAAGAAGTCGTTTGAATAAGTATATTTCATCAAATCAGAGTTAAGGATAATAATTTTGAAACATTTTCTGAAAAAATTATTATCAATCGAAAGAACTAAAAAGACTCTTGTTCCAATTGCTAGTCAAATTTTAAATGTAAAGTGTTTTTAATCTTGGATCATTTCGCATAAAGCACAATGTTAGTTCTTCATCATGTATCGTTGTATTAAATGAATTACATTCTATTTTAACACAACAATTTGCACATTTTATTTCACATTAACAGAATATTATCCGTAGATGGTACACTCAAACTTAGCTTCTTTAAATTTGGTGAAAATATTTTATTAAGAATTCCTGGGGCGTGAGTGTGACATTGATTGTTCTCATAACTGTCACCTACCAGTTTTGATATTGCTGCCATCTTATATATTTCGAATTCAGTAAACAAAAGCTGCTGAAAGGTATAGGTTTTTTAGGAAGCTATTTGTAAGGAAGCGAAACTTTCCTTCAAGGATCGAAAAAGAAAATTTTCTTATTTAGTTTTTGCAATTTCATCTTTACATTCGAGAAATAATTTCTAAGCTTTCATTCTTGAAATCATTGTAAAAAAAAACACAGAATTTCAAAGTATACGCAGAAAGTGAAATAAAAAACAGTAGTGTTTAGAAATATGTTGACATACTTCATTAGACATCTCCACAGTTGTATATGTTGGCATATCTTCTTTCTAATTTTCATTGAAAATTTCATCAACTTTTAGAAAATAATACGATAAGTAACCAACAAGTTTGAACTAAACAATAGTGCCTTTTCATTTCTGCGCATTGAACATTCAATGTGCTGGTACGACGGCATCAAATTTCGCTACACAAGAAGTTTTTAATGAAAAATGACTAAAAACAATCTAATTTTCTTATATTAAATTCATACCAAAAAAAAAACCTACAATGCTTTAGGTCGCAAACTTATTTAATCGTTCTCCAGCTGTCTCCGATAGTTGGAAGTATTCTGATCCTTCTCTGACTAGATTTGCATACTTGAGAGTTCAACATACGGGAATAGCTTTAAAGAATGATCACGCATTCATCATAAGAATTCAAGGCTTATATTCTTATGTACTCCTAGTATTTCATGTTGAAAGAAAGAAAAAAACAACAAATAGAAAATATATTGTATCTTTACTTTAAGATTCAGTTATTTCAGTTTTTTTTCTAATAATGGTAAATAGTAGAGTTAGTCTTAATCCCGAATACCCAAAAGTTAGCTTAAAACAATACACGACGGTGACGATCTTCTTTTTACTGATACGTTCATTTTAAATTCTAATTTCTGTAAATAGTTGCATCAGATACAAGAATGACAGTGTACCAGAAAAGTATATTATTGATGAATATTCCAGGTGGTTCGTAGAAAAAAGCAGTTGGGTGCGTATTTGATCGCGTCAATTATTTTCGTGCTTTGTTCAAAAACATTCGTTGACTTTCCACAACATGACTAACTTCACTGATTGTCGTAGAAGAATGAATAAAGTAGGTCATGCATAGATCTCATGCAATCTTTTTCTAATGGATAATATTACCATCGCGTGATATGTTACAATCACAGTAAAGAAACTATAGTGTGAAGTACAGCTTTGCCATCAATAAATCAAGAGATGCAGAATATTGCTCCAAAAGATTGGTCCTTATGAAGGGAGCGAGAAGAGCACTTGAATAGCTGGCATTGTTTATATCAATTTCGACTCTGATTTCGTCGCAGTGCGATCCAGGATTCTAATTATTGACGTGATTCTTGATCACTATATTGTCGTGTTGTTGTTCTTTTCTTTCTAAATGACGACGTTGACAAACATCACAAGGTTTTTTCCGTCTTGTAAGCTACTCTTATCTGAAGCTGTCGTCCAACCATTAATTTCATGAGTCACATCATGGAGAACTTTTGTGCATGTAAGTTTATCTCCTTTTTTGTTCTTGTTTAACATAGACAAATTAGGAAGAATAACAACATATTGATTCATATGTTGTTAGTCATGGAATTATTATAGAAAATATAAAAAAGAGCAAAACTTTCTTTAGAAAGAAATAAATTTTTTAAGTGCGTTTTTTTATTTAGAATAAGTGGCTATGTCGATTGTAACACAACCACGACAAATAATTATTCAAATAGTTCGTAAATCCGACGGTAAAACAATGAAAATGAATATAGCTGAAACTGACAATCGAAAAGTACAATATATTAAAAGTCAATTGAGACATTTATTTCATCCACACGACAAATTTCGCTTGTATTATAACGGTAAACATATTAAATCTCGACATAAATTAAGTTATTATGGTATAACAAGCCATCAATCAAATATTGTGATTATTTTACATTAAATATATGTATATATTACTTTTTTTTCATGAACATATAAATAAAATCAAATGTTTGTTTTTTTTACTTGGTTGCTGCTCTCTTATTACTTGAATTTAAACTATTTTAAAAAGAGTTATATTCAATTTCATGATACACGTGCAAACTGTTTATTTAATGTATAGAATGTTCTAAGTGAGCTATCATTACATTTAATTGATTCATTTCAACAGGGTCTAATCCAATAAATGTTCTATGATTGACTTAAAAAGTAAAATGATGTATTTAGGACTACATCCTGACTGAGGGTGTGCGTGTGCATGTTGCTCTATTCTTGAATTACACCCACACTCGCACTGCTTGTGAAAAATTCTGCATGTGGACATGTTGATCTCGCTGAAAGACAGAAGTGTATCGAAAGCGAAACCTATGTCAACACCCAAAATGCGCACTAGGCTCTTTGGCATTACATCGAACTCTGTATCTTTCATCATGAATTATTTTAACAGAATTAGTAGTGATTCATCATTAGTATGGATAATATATCGATGATCTGAATTTCTATCGGCAACTATCCGATCGTTACGCACAAGAACACTAGATGGTGTGAGTGTTGAGATTTCTATTACTCACACTTGCAACCACATCCATGCCTACACTTGAAACTCAAACGGTGAAGGATATTTCAGCCGACGAACATTCAACCGAGCCATCTGTTTTGTTGCATCATAGGAACATTCTCCTGTAATCTAGAATCTTTGATTCCCTGTCAAGTATGTAGCTGAATCCCAGCGCAGCTGCTACAGACTACACTAAATTGTAACTTCTAAAAATGTATTGAATATAATATGGAAGATAACGTTTTTTTACCAATCTAATCGGGCTACAAACAATAATATTCAATAGTATTCACTTGAAGAAATTTGAGAAAAAAATTACAGATTCAATTTAAAAGAAAACATTTTCCTTTGAAAAGAAAGTATAATTGTTAGAATTCATAAGTGTGAAATGGGAAAGACGCAAAAGATCAACAAGAATATTCGTTTGGAAAGACATTAGTATATATATATGAAAACGATAGAAAAAGTGCTGGCTATAGATAGATGAACGTATATTTAGAAAGGCGTACTAAAAGAAAATCACTGGAAAACTAGATCAAAAGTCTCCCAGCTATTAGCATTCTGCCGGTTAGCTGTTAGTTTGTTGTAGCCGAAAAAGTCCGTACATAAATATTTTCCGTTGGCTGCCATCAAAGCCACCGTGCCATTGCCACGGCTAACTTTTCTAAAAGCTTCCCAAGCACTGACTTGAGTGCGATTAGCGATTAAAAGACCATTGCCTTCATTTCCTGCAGAAATGTACAGTCCATTGGTATGTGATTTTAGTGCAATGTTGTCTCCACCGAGCTCTATGAGATTCAAAGTTTCCCAGCTTGCAACAGAATTGCGATTAGCAATCAAAGGACTTTTTTCAGCGTTCTCGGCACAGACGAATTTTCCATTGGAGTTTGAACGATGGGCGATAACTCTAGAAGCATTTCCAGAAATGGTGAAAGTAATGTTTTGGCTTAAAGTTTGATGAAATCGGATTCATTCAATTTCTAGCTTGTTGTGGAAGGTTCCTTCGTCAATGTCTTTTTGCTCTCCCTGATAGAAGAGTGAAAACAATATTCACATCTCAGAGAAGAGAATGTAGGTGTGGAGTATTGCAGTGGTGATGTGTGGGTGTTACTCTCGTTATAGTCATATCCATACCCTTTGTCTATGCTTTATCCAATTCGAGCTCAACGGTAAATGGAACTTGTGCAACCTTTCTTTATAAATCTGTTGTTTGACATAATGTTGGTTAATATTCATCTTAAAAATACGTCATTGTAATAGACCACTTCAATCTAATTTCGCTTTAATATTGACTCATTTAAAGTATTCATGGAATATTCTGCTGCCGTAAATGATTGCTCGTACAATCAAAAGATTGAAGAGTCATGTAACGGTGGCTGAGAAAAGATAATAATAAATTTCAATGAAAACAATTGTGCTTTATAAATTTCGAGAGTTACTTCACTATTTCATGCTACTTCTCTCTCAACGATAAAAAAGATTGTAGAAGAAAATTTTGGATGGTAAATGTTGCATTCTCATGGAACTTGAGAACAACATTCTTTAACATAAGAAGTTCTATGATGAAGTGCAATATGGATGATTGAACAATTAATTTTGACCATTCGATAAAAATGAAGTGAAAAAAGCCTTTCAAATTCAAGAATAAGACAAATTTTACCTTCCATTTTAAGACAGATTTTGTTGATGAAAGATACTGAATCGTATTCGATATTAAACATCGCTGGATTGTTAAAAGTATCTTTTAATCTTTTAAGTTTTTCATTAAAAAATTGAATATCTGGTTCGGCGAAGTCATTATCCTTGCGATATTGAATGATTTTTTCGCTCAGTTGCTTCAATTTAATATCTTGATCGCTGACAAATGTATTGATATAAGATGATAGTTTATGACGAACTTCATCAGCCACTTGCCGAATCTTTTTGGTCGATTCGTACTCCCATTGATCGATTTGTTTCATTAATTCATGGATTTGTGGCTTAGCTTTTTGTACTTCGATTTCGGATTTGAACTGATTGAATTGATTTTCAGTTTTACTTAATTGTTCGCTTAATTCATTATGATGTTCATTGGAATGATCGACGCAAAAATCTGTTGAACATCCTTTACATGTTACAATGGCCTTTGTTTTCTTGCATTTGGCACAAACCGTTTGCTGTGCTTTTGTCCCCATGTAACGATATAGTTTCGAAAGAAAAGAAAAAATTTAAGGGTGTGGGTGTGGGTGTGGGTGTGGGTGGGTGTGGGTGTGGGTGTGGGGTGTGGGTGTCGGTGGCGATTCAGGTCTTCTCTTTACTCACATCCATACCCACACCCATACCCACACCCATACCCACACCCACACCCCAC